TGATTTTTATGAAAAGTTTTGTGTCTGTGCACCTAGATGAGAGCTTTAGTATTCTTAGACATACAGTACGGGTTCTAGGAGGCTTCTTAGTCCTATTTCCTTTCTTCTCCCTTCTTAAAAAAGGTTAAATGTCTTGCAGAGGTGAGCTACCAGTGTAGCAAATGACTGTACCTTTCACAGTACAGCAAGTACTGCTTGGTTTCTTCTGGCTTGAAAAATATGCTTCATGATTAGTAAAAATAAAGGTAAGTTAGAGTTCTCTGATTAGATTTTATATTGTTACATTCTGTTTCAGTGTGAGGACTGGGAACTCAGTTTCTAAATCTATAAAAGAAAATACAAGTGAAAGTAGGTAAATGCTGAAAAAAATATTTTTTCTGCCTTCTTGGGGGTAAAAATTGAAAAGAAACAAAAAGAAAGTTAATGTAAAATGCATTGGAAGAATTTGTCTGGACTCTTGACACTTAAAGGATGATTGATAGCTGGGATTATGAAACCTTGTTGGAGTCATCTGGACAGTTTGGCTACACTTCCAAGTTCTTATTTTTCAAGTATGCTTTCTGTCTAGGTGATCTGTCATCTGCTTGTTTCCTGAGTCTGTTGTATATAGAGTTTGATGGTCCTACAAGAAGAAAGTAGGAGGAGAAAGATAATGCTGATAAGCAGGCCTGGAGTTCCCTCTGCCAGCATCTGAGCAGGGCAAGTGGGTTTCATTTTGAATGTTTGGATCCTGTATTGATCAGGTTCAAAACTACTGATGTAGCTTCAGGTGATTAGAATTTACCTTCTGATTCAGGAGCTGAATTTGGGTTTTTTCCTCCTCTGTGTACCAGTGAAAAGGTTTTCTCTTGTGATGTGACACAGTTGATCTTAGAAGGACGTGGCAGAAAAGAATCATGTGGTCTTTGTTAGACCACAGATTAATGTTGTGTAAGTGGAATACCTCAGGGATAATATGTAAGTTATTTTCTGTTGTTTAATGCATAAATTATGTTCTCTGTACAAAGCCACAGAGATGAACATTTTGGAATTTATTGTGTTTCTCTGTTGTGAGAGCACAATTAATTTTTAAAAAAGAGTTCTCGTGTCATAAAATGGATCATGAGAAGTATGGTGAGGCTTCACATATTTTAGACTTGATACAGCTGTTAAGTCAAGAAGCCCCTTAGTATTCTCTAGAGAGAAAATGTGCCATGGAAAGTGTAAACCAATGTGAATGAATGGTGAAGTGTGGTGGGTTTCAGGCGGGAGGTTGATCTTGCACAAAATAAATGGTTTAACCACACTAAACAGAAAGCTTTTTAGGTTTTGAGATGAAAATGGTACTATTAGGGCAAGATAAACTTTTACTGCAATTAAATAAAAGCAAAATTAATTTGAATAGGGAATATTTTTTTCATATAGGTAGGGTGATAATGAGAAAATCTGGTCAATCTAAGAAATTGCCAAAATTCTTTCAAAGCTTAGAGTGTATTATCACTAAAAGAATAGAGTGGACTAGAACAAAATTGGAGGACCTCTACTCTTGTTAATTAGGGTACAGTAGATAAGTTACTTTGCCCAGAAAGAGCTGATCAGTGAACTTTGGCCCAGCAGTTTTTGTGTTGTGGTTTGTAGCTGTATGACCCTAAAATTAACTGGACAAACTAGTGTGGCGTTCCTAACATTCATATTCATGTACTGTTGAAGAAAGACTTTTTTTACAGTAAATTGTGTATAAACTGCTTGGATTGTAGGAAGACTTCTTTTGTAGCACCCTTCTTTCTACTCCTGGTCAATTATTTAAATGGATGCACCTATGAAAACAGTTTCTTAAAGGCCATGGATGGCAGATTGTCAGAGTTCTGAAAGAATAACTACTTGAAATAGATGGATACTTGCAGAAATTGGAAAGTACCAAATTATGACAGCAGATAGTATTTTATGACTCATCTAAAATATCAAGCTTCAAAGGATAAACAGTCACTTTTAAGATAGATAAAGTTCCCCAGTGGTTGTGTTATTTTCTTTCTGAAGTTATAAAAATACTGGGAATATTTTAGTATGTCATGACAATGCTTCTGGTTCTGACTTGACTGATAATAATTGCTTTCCATCGTCCTCAATTTGATATCACTGTGGTGTTCATAAATGGATGGCCTATATATAAGGTCACAGTTCTGTGTAATAAGTGGGTGTAGTGTAATTAATTTATCCTAGATCCCCCCCACCCCCATTAGAGGCATTTGTTGGGGATGGCTACTCACAAATAATGAGCAATATTCATTTGAATTAACTTGGCTCTGTAGGTGTTGCGAGCAGGTGACTGCCTCTGTTCTTCCAGACTTAACTGTAGGCAAAGAAGAAGCATTAGAGGGTTTTGTGTGTGTGATGAAGGGTGGTAAAAAATAATGAAGTAATATTACCATCATGTTCTACTTCCTTTTAGATGAAACAAAAATAAATCAAAATAAATTTTGATTCCTCAATTTTCTGCTTTTATTCCACTTAGGTCAGGCTATTAGAATTTTTGAGTGAATTCTGACAAAGGTCAGAATAGCCTACCATAGGGTAAAAAGTTAGTCTTGGCTGTGTTCCCCTTCTTTTTTGTTTTTTTTTTACCAGAATGGTGATGTATTTGCTTTGTCAGAGATTGTCATTAATTGGGCCATGCATTAGCAATTAATTCCCAATCTATACATTGCTCTAAAAAATATGCATAGCTCTTCTTTTTCTATATTAGTTCTAAGAAAGATGTCAAATTTCATTTGATTCTCAGATTTGGTAACCAGATCTCTTCTTTCTGCATTGACAGTGGAGGTCACTTTTATATAATGATTGGGTAACTTCAGTTGTTTTTAGGTAAGTTTGGAGATGTCATAGCCCATGAGACAGCTCTCTGAGCATGTTCTTTCTTCCATCAGTCTCCTGGGCATTTTTGCCTACATTAATTTTCAGTTGTTACTCTACCTGGCCAGAAGTGTCTAAAGAAAATGCTACTAAAAAAATGACACCACCACAAAGAGCAGTTTTAAGTGCAAGAAACATCTTAAGCACTGATGTCCAATATGTCTTTTGGACCTACTTTGAAACACTAAAACTGGGTTTTTTTGGAATTACCTGATAAGAGGTATAAAATAAAAACTGCATTATGCTAATGCTTTGTTAGCATAGGTCACTCTGCAGGTAGTAATGGAACAGCCCTTAACCGTGGGATAGCTGATTTACCTGGACTTAAAAAATGGTGTGGTTTCCTTTCAGTTATTGGGTATATTTTTTACTCTTTTTAGAAGAAGAGAAGTAAATGGTAAGTTGATGTTTCCTGTAGGTTGTAGATACAGCTGTTCAGAGTCCCACCCTACAGGTAGAGGAACCTATATGGTGGCAGAATGAGTGCTCATGTAAACTACTGGGAGGGGCTTGGGGTTTTTTCATGCCTACTATGAAAAATACTCAGTTACCTGCTTTTGGTTTAATGGAGGTTTTTTTCTGCTTATTCTTGAAAATAGTATGGTTTTTCTTAATTTTATGCATAGCTAGTGATACAGTTTGTTATTTGTGGTATTTAGTAAGAAAATGCTCAGTGTTTAAATTAGGAAAGCAAAATACTCCTATGGTTGGTTGGCCTGACTGCTTTCCAGTTCGTTGTGTTTGGTGTCTCATGGAATAGGACCAAAACACAACTTTTTCTGTCTAGAAGGAGAGCGAACTGTAGGTTTAGGCACTTTAGACATCTCTGCATGTTCTTATGTTAATTGACAAACTTCAGTAGGGTTACAGAATTTAGGAGGTAAAATGAAGACTTGCTGCCATCTCCTACTTTAGAGATGCCTTGTACGTGCCACTTCATCACCCTGAAGAAATCAAGTGTAATTCCACAATGCTTGTCTGAAGTCCATTTTACACTGGAGGCTTGTTAGTTTTTTTTCTTGGCAATCTAGTGTTTGGCAAGGATAAGCATGTTAAAATATGTTGATCTCAAAACTATTAGGCTTTTGTAGACTTTGTGGTATGAGAGGAGTGTATTTAGTAGGCACTGTATGTGTCTCATTGCAAGTGAATGGTTTGTGTTCTTGGAATTTTGACATCTTGGAAGGAGTTTGCATTTGCTCCTTATGTAAGTACTGAAGTTATTGGGCTATTTTACTTCAATTACCTAGTAACTTGTGGAAAACCTTGTCTGTATTAGTGTGTAAAAGTGCATTAGTTTACTAATCTGTGAGTAGCTGAGGTGCTGTTTACATCTCCTGTACTTGGCTGGGTGTTCTGCCCTGTGCAGTAAGAGAAGTGGGAGAATGGTAGTAGCTGGCAATCATTGTGCTCATGCATGTCAAGCAGATTGTAGCTTTGCTCTACAATTAGAAACTGCTACTGATTCTTTTTATTTTACTACTTAAAAAATAACTTCTAAAAGTGACACCAAAGGTGTGACATCTTTTAGTGGCAATCTATTAAAATAAGATGGAAAATTTTTCATTATTGTGAATCATTAGAATGATTTTGCTTTAAAAAATACTGAATGGAAGCTAAGACATTGAGTAGTTTGGTTTCTTTTAAAGTACAAAATAAAAGTGAACAATCCTAAGATGTGCTTGAAAAATTCTGTAACCAGGTTTTTGTTGAAAGGTATATAGCAACTGGGCTTTGACAACATAGGGCAGTAAGCAGATGTACTTCATGTTTGGTAAATCTGCCATTAAAGCGAGTCTGTCATCTCCCTGAATATGCTGGGGGTTTTCATCACAAATTTGAATGATAATATTTTTTGTCAGTTTGTAATATTTTTAAGTTCAGACAGTAAGATCATCACAGTCTTAAAAGAAGTGTATTGGAAGTTAACTTTTAAAGATGATTGAAATTCAATGTTTTCCTCTCCTTTTGCTTGTCTAAAATAAAACTAATGAAATAAGTGTGACAGATACAGGTGATAAGTTCTTTATTAAAATTAACGTGATGTAAAATTACCTGGTTTTAAAATAAACTGACTCAGTCTCCTGCATGTTTTGTTTTGTTTTTCCCAGGGTTTGTGGATGCACTTAGATGTTTGCAATGAGCACTGTGGCTGGCATGCCCCAGTGTTTTGGATACCAATGCATAGGACTCCGTAGTAATCGAATTTATCAGAAACGAACGTCATGAGCATAGTGATCCCATTGGGGGTTGACACAGCAGATACTTCTTATTTGGAAATGGCTGCAGGCTCAGAGTAAGTATGGGAACATGATTTGTAAGCGTTCTTACTTATTTTTAAATTATTTTTATGTTTTCCTTCGTGAATTATTTTTATGTTTTCCTTTGTGAGTATTTTTATGAATACAGTTGGAGAGAACTTAGTTTTGTTGAATCTTTAATTACTTAAATTAATAACTGTCACTTTATTCTTAAGTCAGTTTCTTCCTCTTCAGGGGGAGCAAAGCAGAGAAGCTGAACTTTACTGCAGATGCAGATTTTTCTTGGTCATCAGACTGAGAAATAAAGATGCTACTTGTTTTGTTTTTCATGCTTAAAATACTTGCCATTTCAGTTTCCTTTTTAACTGTGTAAAAAATATTTTTGACTTTGCATGTTAGAAAGGTAAATTAATGTTGTGTGTTAAACTGCAAAACAGTGGTAGTAATTGAGACAAAGGTGCCTTTATTTATGAAAATTGAAGGCCTAGCTTAATTAGTTAACACCATGTCTTCATGAAGTTATTCCTAATTGGAAGCCTAATAGAAATTCGTTTGTTACTCATTCATTTACTTAGTAAGTGTGTATAAAGGGTTACAAAAAGCCAGTGAAATCCTGAATTCAATCAACTCTGCTTTGCATGTAAAAAATGGAGTGAATTTTTGTGTTTTGGGGGATTGGGAGGACTTGTGGATTTTTCTGTTTGTTTTGTGGGAGGTTTTTTTGGGAGGTTTCCCCCACCACCACACTTGTATTGATGGGTCAGAGTTTAGGTACTGGTGATCACTGACTGTTGCTTTTGCATTAGTAGAGTGCATGATTGGCAAGTTTTTTGGGGAAGAGAGGTGGGTGTCAAAAGATACTAAGGATCAGGATAGTTTGTGGAAGCCACAGACAATCTCATATAACTTCTTTGCATATATAGATGAAAAGACCAACATGAATATATTAGCAGAAATGTGAAATTCATCATTTATATTGAATTGGGGTTTGGTTTTTTTGAACCACTTGAGATGGTGTTACTCTTATCCTTCCTCTGAGCCTTTCTGTAGTAATGTTAAAGGCTCCCTATCTTTGGTTGCCACAAACATACATTTGCTTGCATTAGATATTGAAAAAATGGATTAGACTTTTAGTTTACATACATGCTTGACATTTTTTTATAAATATAAAACATTTGAATACCTGTATTGGATAACAAATTTCAGTAGCTTGCACACAATCTTTGCTTGAGAGCATGTGCTAAGCAATATTAATCTGTTTAAGAAGTGTTTTTCTTCCAAACTTTGACAAAAAGTTTGAACAGAACTCTTGAACAGCTTTTAAAAGGAATGTTTCTCTCCTGTGTTTCCAGTTATATATAAGGCTATTCTAAGTTTACACCATTTCTCTGAAGAGAACCAAGAATTTGCAGTTCAGTTTTTTGTCACATTAAATTTTTAATGTTTTGTTTATCTCTTCATATAATGAATACTAATTACCTTGGTGCAGAAGATTTTTTAACTTTAGTGAACTGTTCACAGCTCTTTTCATTATCTTTTCCTGTACTTTTCTTTTATGTTTAGAGAAGGTCATGATTCCTGAGGTTGCTGACATTCCTTGCAGACACAGCATGCCATGCTGGAATTAAAATAAATAAATATAGTTGTGAGTATAAACAAGATAGAGTTCACAGTGTGTTATTCGCTTGATACCGTGGCAGAGCAACCCAGTTAGGAATTGCTTTTCTTCAGATGTTAAGTGACTGTTACCAATTAGATTAATTCTTATCATCTCTCCTGTACTTACATGAAATGTGTGTAGTAGTTGTATGATTGGCTTACTCTGATTCAGAAGCCATGTCAGTGTCTAAAGCAGTGTGACAGAAAGGTGTGTCCCTAACCTACCGGCTTACACAGTTCTGAACCTTTTTTATCACCATCTCTAGGACTTATATATTTTTTTTGTACATTTTCTTCCAGAGAGTAGCCTGTTGGATATAGATTGTATTAATAACAGTCATAGATGGTCTTTAAGCAAGTTCTAGGGTTTTCCCAAGAGGGAAGAGTTGGAATTTCTCCACTGTGACCAGCAGGTCTGATATTGCTTCATCAGTTGCTGAAGCATGAGCAAACACAAGAGTGGGGGAGTGGCAAACCCAATTATGCAAGAGAAGGAGCCCGGGAAAATACTCTTTGTTTAGTACTGTTTCTGCTAAAAGATTCTGCCCTATGCTTTGAACCAAGGCAATAGCCTCTTAAAAAAGTGGATAGTTTTTGTGACTAATAGGTTCACATATTATTTTAATAATTGTATCAAGTAGGTATGTGTAGAATAACTTATTAAAAGGTTTAAACATCTTAAAAATTGGATTAAATACTCTTGTTTCTTATGTGTGCTTAAGTGGGATCTCCAGATAGATGTTCATAATACTGCAGTAGTCAGAGCACACATATTTTGCTTTAATTTGTAGATCTTACTGACAATGAATGTGTGTGACTGCTGAACTGGTAAGGACCAATAGCAGAACCAGCCATTTCGGGAGGTTCAAAATATGCTTCCTGACTGCAGAGAGTACTAGTGTAGCTTGGAAGATGAGTATAAGCTACACATTGGGAAATGCCATTGATGGTACTGTTTTTCTGGTTTTAGTATCTGTATATGTTTTTTAGATAGAAGGCCTGTATAATAAACCTCACAGTCACAGTGTACAGATCACTGTGTTGAGTTCAGTATCCCGAAGAAAAAATGATGAGCGTTGTTGTAGCCTTACGTACAGACGATAGCGGGCCAGCCTGCACTTGAAGAGCCTGCTACAAGGTGCTTAGGTAGCAGAACCAACTCCCTGGTAGAGGAGCAGTGCTTGGTTCTTTGTTGTCTAGATGTTGAATCCTGACAGATGTGTTTGGTTAGGTGAAGTATCATACGAAATATATTTTATTCCTTTATCTAAGATGACCTTCAGGCAGATGCTGCTCAGGTGTGCTGGTACAAGTGGAAAACAAACCTGAACTTGAAAATCAGACCTGTCAATTGGCATGTGGCAGATTGATGTTGCTGAAGCATGTGTGAAAGCAGAAGGTTCCATTTAGAGTTTTGACACATTTTCAGAAAGTACTGTTAGTTAAGTGTTCATAGCCTAAAGCTTGGATACCCACTTGGCTTTGAATATTTGACTTCTTAGTGAGATTTTGAACATGTACATTTTTAGAGAAGTCGTTAATAGTCCCAAAATCGAAGGACTGATTGTATATTGGGTACTAGTCAAAACCAGCACACTTTTTTTAAAATTATTAAATGGTCAGAAACAAAGCAGTAATTAAAAGGAATGGGGTAGGGGAGGTCACGTTTTAGGGAACAATTGCTTCTAATCGTTGACAGTTGATTCCTTTAATATAGGTTAAGTATAAGGTTGTAGGGACTGTTTTGGTAAACTGCTCTCGTGTTGCTTTTGATTTCTCAGTAATGCCATCTGCTGGCAACATGCAGAAATGACCCAGAACATGAGTTGTTTCACTTGCAGAATGAAAATTCTGTGAAGTTTTATTTCTTGGTTTTTTTAAAATACAGGCATGTCTCCTTTTTTAATTGATTTTATAAAATACTATGTTCCTGTTTTCAGGTTACAGGAATCTCTTAAATCATTGCAGCCTAGGAGCATTTTATTTTGTTCCTTGTGAATATTTTGCACAGTTTTGAATTGCTAACCACAGTGCTTAATAAGTATATATGATATTTTAGCAAAATATGAGGGTCAGTTTATAACAGTAATGATTGTTTTTAAATTAAGTGTTATCTCATGCTTTAATCATCTGTGCAATTAAATGTTTTACCAAGAGGTACTCCTTCACTAAACGTCCAATTCTGAGATGCCCCTTTCAGAAGAAAGATTTTAACCTTTGAACAAACAATAATGTAGAATGTGTGTTTTCTGTTTTAAGGTCATGCACATGGTGGGCATGACAAGGGTGATAAGGAATTTGGTGACCTGTCTGCCAAAGTTACTTCTGTGTGTGGTTCTCTGGAGAAACGATACTCATTCTGTACTGCTTATGGGATCCTTATCACTTTTCTGTTGATTGTAAAGGAAACCTGTGAGGGTTAATTTCTGGCTTCAGTGAATGCTCTACCACCTCCTTCCCCAGCCCAGTGCAGTGTAGTGGATGAATGGAACAGCAGCAGTTATGTTCAGAGCTCTAGTGAGCATCTGTTATAAATTAAAGTAGTATCTGTGCCCCCCAGATAAGCCGACTGTGCTCTAAATTTGTATTTGTTACAGCTCTTTTAATGAAATACTGAAATGCCTTTTTGTATCACCTGATTTTTCTCCCACTGTTTTCCTGATTCTCCTTGTTCAAGTAAAGCTGTGCTTTTTCCTTATTAACCTTGTGATCTGAATCTGTTTTATGAGTATTTAAATAGTTGAAGATATATGTATTTTGGTTTTGGAAGCCTAATGCTTCTGCTGCCCACAACTCTTATATTAAACTTTGTTTAATATAACTTTTGCCTCACAATATTAAACTTTGTTCTCTTAAGTGGTTTATAAATTGCTAGAGTAGGTAGAAATGTATTTAGGGAGGAGACTGTACTGTCTTGCCTCAGATTTTGCAAGAGATTTAGAGGATCTTTTCAATTTTTTAGATAGTAGATGAAATACACGACCTCTCTTTTTAGGACACTTCCATTCTGGCATCTTTCACTGCATATTCCTGTGTTAAAGTAGATGGTATCTAGGTCGTAGTAATACTTATTTTTAACGAAGGAAGTTCTCCTAAATTAGTTGTGGCATTGCTGAAGGGTGAATTGTACCAGAATTCCCCCTGCCTGTCCTGTATCAGTAAGCCTTCCTGCTCTGAAAACTGAGTTTATCCCAACAAGACCAAGGCTGAGCATTGAAGGCAGAGTGGGTAAGAGTAACTTTGCTACCACTTATCTCATTCAGGAGATGGTGAAGAACAGCAGTAGAAGCGATGCAGTGCTCAAGACTCTCATGTACAGGAGAAAGAGAACTTGATTTCTGACCTGGCCATGATGGAGGGGAGCTAATGGCATTTTGTTTGGCTTGATCATCAGAAGGATTAACTGGGTGACAGGAGAGATGTATGATTACCACACAAATGTGTTATGTTGGTGAAGGCTTTTTCATCTTTTGTGGTTTTCTGTAGTAATGGGTTTGATAAACCTGGCAAGTTCTGAGCTGCTTCTAGAAGCTAATTCCAGCAAGCTCTGAATAAATTCATATTTTCAAGTTGTGAAGTGGTATAGGAAAGTAAATGAGAATTTTTGGGGGGTTATGAGTTAACAAAGAGCAAGTGTTGTCAGAGTTAGTCTCATGCTAGTCAGAAGTTGTATTTTTAACGTTAGTACTTCATATTATTTGTGTGCTCACACGTTTGCTCACTCTCTACAAAAGGCAGCTGATGACTGTTGGAGACATTGATCTTTTAAAAAAGGTTTTTTTCTTTGCACTCTAGAAACTGAAGTCTTTACCCAGTAGTGCTTTTAAATAGAGTTTCTTTTTAAACAATTCTGTCATGTAGTAATCTCACATGGGGAAAAACTCATAAGAAGAAAGGACCTACCAAAACCTTTAGTAGAACACTTTCAAATAGATGTCAAAATACTGTATTTTGTTTTGAGAAAGCTAATAATTAATTATATTTTTACAAAACGTATTACCAACAAATATAGGTTACTGGTGTCCTTCAAATCAAACTAGTATAGCTTCATGGTATAACAAAGCCTCTATTAAATATTTTAGTGTCTAAGAAAAAAAAATCAGTCTCTATTCCTTTTCAGAAATACCGAGTTTGTTTTCAAAATCAACTCAAGGAATTAGTAAGATATATGTGATGGGAAATAGACTTCACTTTTAATAAAAATAAAATTAGAAAAGTGAACCAGACCTGATTTGTGATGGGAGTCAAAACCACCTTAGTTTTAGATGTTTATATTTTGCTATGCCAGTGTAAAAAAAAAAAAGGCACTTTAGGTAACCTGGATTAATTTGTCCTACTGCGATTGAATTGTATGGTGCAGTGAAAAAACTTCAAGTTCTCTCAGTCATGAGAGTATGCTTGCATGCACTCATGAATGTAACTGCTGAAGAAATGTAATAAAGGTATAATTTCTTGTGCTCAAATTGTGTTTGTTCCTGTTTTAGTATTCCTTTATCTTTCTTGTCTTTCATGTTGTGGTTTAGTGTATATGACACATAGTTTGTATATTGAAGAAGGCCCTGCCTTTGATTACAAAACCTTCTCTCACAAATTGTTAGCACTTTTTTTCTTTCTATTTAAAGATAAATCGATAGAAACTACCTCATTTAGATAGATTTGCCCTAGTTAGGATTTCTGCTTGTGGAAACAGTGGGTGTGGGTGGTGCCCTGTCACTGCCACTGTGTGTCACTGCAGGGCTCTATCCATGAGCAGTGCTTGGAATTACAACTTCAGTCCTCGGTCACAATTCCTTTCTGCAGATTCTGTTACTGCTCAGTGTGGTTTGTTTGTTTGTTTGTTTTTTTCTGTTACCACTCTTGGTTTTTTTGGTTGTTGGTTTTTGGTGGGTTTTTTTTTTTGAGTGAGGGGTGCAAGTTTGTTCCTGCCCCTCTGTGTGCCTTTAAACAGTATCAGCAGGGAATTAATTAGAAGTTGTGCAGCAGGTACTTCCAATTTATTAATATAAATTACATACTAATTGCATTTGTTCTTCATCTGTCTTTTGCCTTGCAGACCAGAATCTGTAGAAGCTAGCCCTGTGGTAGTTGAAAAATCGAACAGTTATCCGCACCAGTTGTATACCAGCAGCTCGCATTCACACAGTTACATTGGTTTGCCCTATGCAGTAAGTTTTTGTGCTAAGTATTCTGTACAAAATATATTATGTAAAATCTGCTGTTCTTAGCTGGAAAACTGATTCATGCTTATATTTCTATATCTTATTGGGAGCTGGGTAGGTTGACTAAAGATGGTTGATTAGCAGTAGAATACAGAACATAGTGAACTTAAATGTTAAACATAGTTAAGTTAGAAAATAAGATTGAATAATGATAAAAATAAAACTTTAACTTTTCACTAAAAAATAACACTGAAGTTCTTTGCCAAGTGAATTCATACACTTGGGCTTGAATAACCATCAGTGTATGAGCATTTATGAGTTGTTATAACTTATCTTTTAATGAAAATCTAGGACCATAACTATGGTGCTCGGCCTCCTCCAACGCCTCCAGCTTCTCCTCCTCCATCAGTGCTTATAAGCAAGAATGAAGTAGGCATATTTACCACTCCCAACTTTGATGAAACCTCCAGTGCTACTACCATCAGTACGTCAGAGGATGGAAGCTATGGAACTGATATTACCAGATGCATTTGTGGCTTTACACATGATGATGGATATATGATCTGTTGTGACAAATGCAGGTAAGGAATATTAAAATAATGTAAAAGGTAAAAATTACTTAAAATTTCAAGCTGCACTGAAGGAAGTGTAACTAAATGATGTTTTAATTATGTCCAGGGACAGGGAATTTCCCTCCATCAAAAAAGAGTTTGTAGGTTATGTGGTTTTTCTAATAGGTAAGATAGCTGATTAAGGCCAGTGAGTATTTTATACTTTATTCCAGTCTGTCTTGACTATTCCTTCTTTTGTTCATGCCTTTACTTGTGCACTACAGCTTAATAAGGGCATATCTTTTTTTCCCCTCTAAAAAGGATGTCTCTCTGGTATTTTGTCCAAGTTGTTTGTTACTATGATGAAACAAAGACCTAGGAATCACTTCATCTGCATGTACTAGTAAAGCATCTTGGTGAATTATGTATGTGTAAATCAGGTAACTTGAAGGATGCAAAATAACATGAAAGAAGCTTTTCAAGTATTGATTTCTCTGTGCATGATCTTTCTGATAAGAACTCTTTAATTTTCAAAGGATATAGTTTTAAGAATTTTTAATAAGTATGAAAAGACTAACCTAGATTCTTACTGGAGAAGCTGAAGTTAAATGTTTAAACTTCTGTCATTATGTGTAAGCACCTATTTGATCATAGTATAGTAGAAGACTGCTGTTAAATACTTGGAGTTGGAAAAATTATCAGGAGAAGACAAATCTCATGTTTCTACTAAATATTAGCCTCTATTTTACATTCAGTATGGTTAATGAATGCTGCTGAATTTATTAGATCTTCATGTATTTAATGATTGCTACAGCTAATTAAAAACACTAATTTGAGTTCCATTTTTCTGTCTGCTTACGTAACAAGCTTGTTGGTCATTTCTCCTGGTCCTTGATTCTGATAACCTTTGCCCCTTCTTTTGAAACATATTAAGGTGTTCTCTCAGCAGTGCAATTGTAGGCAGTCACCAGTTAGTCTGCTTCCCTTGAAGAAGCAATTATCTGTGAGGAGTTGGAAAGAATTGTGGTAAACCCACAACTGGGAAGATAACAATTTTTGTGTCCCTGATCCTTCTAGCAATGTGGGGATGAGCACAAACTACTGTTTTAGGTTAGCCTTCAGCAAACAACCTCTCTTCCCTGACTCTGGGAATCAGTTAAAGCTCTTTCTGTGCTGCACAACGGTACTACCAGTCATGCCAGGTGTATTTTTATATGTTCTCTTAAAATATGTAAGTAATTAAACCTATATCTTTCTGTTTATTTCTGTATATAAAAATAAAAGTACGTATCTATTCCTAAAAGAAAATTGAATCCTTTTGTTTAAAAACAAAACACTTTTTACTATGTGGAGCATAAGTGTTATTGCTGAGGGTATTTGTCTGTCTCGTTCTCTGTTGTGATAATTTACCATTTTATTTCTGGTGTTAGAGGAAAATTTCCAAGAGAGAAAATGGGTCAGCTGGCAGACTGGTGGCAGAGATGGTGACTGAGATATAGGCATTCAATTTGAGTAAAGATCAAAAATGATGGAGAAAAAAAAAAGAACGACTTACTTTCTGTCTCTCTGTGTTGTGCGCGTAATTTTTAAAATTGTGCTTAGAAGTTGAGGTTTTGTTGTTTGTTTTTTTTTTTTCTTAAAAGTGTCTGGCAGCACATTGACTGTATGGGGATTGACAGACAGCATATTCCTGACATATATCTGTGTGAACGTTGTCAGCCCAGGTGAGTAGTTTGGTTTATTTTGAATTCTGAATCAAAGTGGATTGAGTAGAGATATGAAAAAGAGGAGTTGTTGGGGAAAACAAAATTGGTTATTCTAACAACCAGCAGATAAAACAGACCATGTAGCATAGTCCTGACAATTCTAGTTAAAGAGCTACATTTCTGATATAGGCAGTCTTACCAGCCTCCATTCCCTTGTGCACAGTAGTCACTGTTTCACTTCACTAGGCAGCAGGAATAAACCCTTGAAATACCTATGAAAATAGCAGTGATTCCTGGATACTTTCTCAGGCAGATTGATACACAGACAGTCCATTCCATATTTCGTTTCATGACTGTCATACATTAAGAACTCTTAACAGCAGTGTTCTCAGGTTATGGCCCTGTTCTGATATGCTGCAGGGATCACTTGGAGGATTTCTTGCTCTGGAACAAGTACTTGCATGTGGTCCCCCTCTCCCCACCACCACCCTCCATTCTCCCCAACTTGCAGTCATATGACATGGCAAGGAGGGCTTTTTGTTCTGACTCTGGTAGGCAGGTTATACCTGACTGTCATCATAGTTGCTGTCCTGTGATGTAGAGTATAAAATGCTACTGTTGCTTATGTTGCAGATTGTTAATTAAACAGCAAAAAAAACGTGTTCAGAAAATTTTAAATACCCGGAAATTGTTCTTTTTTCTTCTGAGAAGTAATTTGGACCTTGTCATCATAGAATATTTGTTCAGTATTGTATTGTGATGATTGTTCTGAAGAATCTGCAGGAAAATGGTGTAATGCCTGCTTATCTGTAATCCCTGGACCAACTGTCAGTCTCTGTTCTGAGCTATCAAATTTTATTTTGCTTTCAGATGATTTGGATACATGTATGTGCCTTCCATCAAAACGGAATGGAACAGTGCACAACTGATGTTTTTCTAAGTATCTGAACATTAAGTTAGTTTACTGTTTCTTCTGTAATAGTCATTGGGAAATGGTAAAGATCTGTTTTAATACTTAGATGCACTGATTTATTTTCTCATTTCAGGAGTTTAGATAAAGAAAGGGCAGTGTTGTTGCAACGAAGGAAAAGGGAAAATATGTCAGGTGAGTAGAACTTAAAAGCTTTTTCCTCAGTAGAGGTTATACATATAAATCAACTGTATAGACTTAAGACTGTATACATGGTTCCTGCAGCTTTGACAGACTTCTGCATATAAGGTTCAGTAAACCAATGCCTTTTACTTGACTGTATTATTACCAGAGTAATATTGTATCAGAATTGTTATAGTTCCATGTGTTTTGTTAATGGCTGTCAGAACTACTTCTTTTGTATTAGTCTGTAGTAATTTAATCTCTTGAACATTTGGGTTTCTTTTGAGGTGAGAGGATTTCTAAGTCTACTTTCTTTTTGAAAAGAAGTTTTGAGGAAATCCTAATTCTGATTTGTTGGATGTAGATTGGGGGCATGTTTTGGTATGGTTTTGGGTTTGTTTTGACAATGAGAACAGTTGCTTGGGTAATATGATGTAGGTAATATGATGTTTTGAAGGTTTATTTGCCTTTGATAACTAGATGAGGCTTGTAGTACAAGTACCCACTTCAGTCTATGTGTTTTATGAAATTAGCTCTCCTACCTGTTCACACAATTTTAAAACTCATCTAGCCTAACTTGTCAGGGGTTCTGTCCAGCCATTGCCAAAATGTGTTGTAGAAGTCTTGATTGACCGGTGGTACTTTCAGACTCTATTACAGAAGTAATAAATTGGGAGGAAGTCATCTTCCTAACCTATTTGACTTTTAAATCATGTCTCTAAAGTAATGGAGTGTGTTTTAAGATTTCTTTAAAAAATACCATGTATGTAAAGTCCTGATGCCCACTTCACATGCCTTCAGAAAATCTGAAGTGTCTGGTCTGGCTTAATTGTGCTTCTTGGTGCAGTTGACACTTGATGTTATCTGGGGCTGAACTGCCTAAAATCTGTTAAAGGCATTAATGTCTTACTCATAAAACTAAATCATGTGTTTTTTTCTGTTTTTATTTTAATGAAACCAAACTTCTTTTATGAAGTTTTTGTTAACCTACTAGGTCAACAAAACTTAAATTCTAAAATTTTTTTAGAATTTAAAATTATTTTTGCTGGCTATTTAAAGAATAGAGCAAGTAGGTTTATGATTCATGTGGAGTTAATGCATTTACTGAGGGATAGGATGATACTGTGAGGATGAACTTGAGTTTACATACAGGATAGGGGAAGTTGATGGTCTGAGCTATTTAAGTCATCTCTTGGGATTTGTAGGCACACTGTCTGATCATTTTACAGTAAACTTAAGGGAAGAGAAATTGAAAATCTTAACAGAAGCTGAAGAGATTGTACCTTTGAAGTTAGTGTTCAACCCTCCTTAATCCTGATGATGAGTCTTTTAAATCTGTTATATGCATTCAGTAGGAAGAGAGATTACTAAGTGGTAAATCTGAAGTATCCAGAGTTAAAAATAAAGACAAATACTGGTTCCTCTTTAGTCTAAAACTCAAAGTGTAGTGTTGATGACTGTGATTTATAATACATAACTTGAATGTGTGTGCTTGCACCTGTACCTTGGCTAAATCCACATCATGTTGACGGTTGTTACACAGTTCAGGAGGACTTAGTGATTCTGGGTATGAACTGTCACAAGACATCAGTAAAAGGGCCGGTTTTCATAGAGGATTCCAATTAGGAAAAGCAAAAGTGACATCAATTCAAATGCATATTTTCAGTGTTTTAAATATTCAACAGTAGCAGAATGTTCCTTGTAATTCGCTTATTATTAAGTTACAGGTGTTTGATAAAAAGTAAGATTGTATTATTTGAATGTTTTTTGATGAGTGTGTATATATAGGGCTTTTCATTTAGATATGGGAATTCTTTACAGTACAGTGGTTTTTATTGTAAAGATACCTAAAATATTGCTGGTTTAGCAACAGTGGGGAGCAAGTAGTAGATCAAGAAAATAGCTTTTGGATGAACATTTCACGTGATACAAAACTGTATGTCCTAAATTTCTGTGTGTAACCACATCACATCTTTTTCTGGCAAAATATTTAGCCTGTGGTTGTATGTGGTGATGCTGATTTTGTTGTTCTGGTATAAAAGTGTAATTCTGATGCAGCTTACTGTCCATTGGATTGTGTACTGTGGTTCAGTGAAGGGAGCACCTTTGTTAAGCCCCTACCCAGCTGAATACGGGATGTTTTGGATTTGGGGTTTTTTTGTGTTTGGTTGGGTTTTTATTTTTTGGTTTTTTGTTTTGTTTTTTGTTTTGTTTGGGTTTTTTTTAAGATAAAGTATCTAGATGTGTAACTTATTCAAGGATGTTGCTTCAAGCTGCCTGGTCTTGAAATTGTTGCTGTCCAGGTCATTTGCTGCCTATGGGTAAATGAATCTGGACCCATAATGTGAATTTTGGAGAGTTTGTATCTTGCCTTCTGACATGCAAACTCATGATCTTCACTTAGTGTGCTTTACTAAGGCTCTTCAAAGTGAAAGCAGGTTATGTAGGTTAGGAAGGAGTGTCCCAAAACAACTCTATGTAATTATATGTTCAGTTGAGGTAATTATTCTTTACAGTAAGTTAGAGCACAGTGTAGACAACAATGTTGAAATGTTGCTTCCCTAAGGAAGATGCTGTTCTGTGGGGTTTGGGGCAAGGGGGAGGTGTGTGGCAGTGACATGATTCTGCAGGCATTAGTGTATGCACTACGGACATTGACAATTTCAAGAGGTCCTTGGGTTTCTGTTTCTCAGGCTTTGGTTATTCTGCTGTTCATTCACCTTTGGTTAGATATTTCTTCTTTCTGTGTGCTTTTTATTCTAGTTTAGAAAATATTCCCAGCAAAAATGTAAACGGATTCAGAAATCATCATCAATTCCTAATTCATAAAACATAATTATGTACCTGACAAATAGTTGAAAAGAACAACCAAGACAGTAAAATAGGATTGTTTACTATGCACAGAAGAATCTTGTTAAGGAATGTTGTGAGCAAGAAAAATCCAGAGTAACCAATAGCTGGAGTTCTTTATTTAGTAAAGAAGGTTTCAAGAATTAGGACTGTTGAGTGCACTGATTAAGGCAACATCCTTCTGAGTTCAGAAGGAATGTTTTCTCTCTTCTCATATTTTAAGTATTTGTAAATCTGGCATCTGTGCAGTTTGAGGAAAAAGTTTTGCTTAGTGTGAAGTGTATTTATTGAAGGCAGAATATTTGGAAAAGCTGCTAAAATCCAAGAGATCTGTACTGAGCACATATTAACTTATCTGTGTGCACCATCTCTCTTCCAGTCCTCACCATCCTTCACAGCCTTTCATCTTGACAGAACTAGGGTAATCCTGTTTCAGGTCAGGATATGTGTTTGACATAAATGCTGATGAATGCTAAATTTCAGGCTTTGGCCTTCACGTCTCTGAGTGCACAGCACAAAGAAAAAATATCTGTCAGTTCGTATGTCATCATCCGTTTTCTTTTCCCCAAGTAGCAGAATGTTACTGTTAGGGGATTTTGAGTAGAAAGGGCTTTTGGCTAAATTCACATATTTATCCTAAAAAAGCACTTGATACTGCAGATTGCAGCTGAAATAGTTGATTATGACTTACATGTGATTAATTAATATGGCTTCACAAGAAATGCTTATCAGTCATTATTTTTAATCCCTTCTAGAATACAGTCATCTGAGAATACAGTCACCTAATGCCATATTTCAAGTAAAAGCTAAATATAAGTGAACAAGTTAACAAATATATTTTTTTAAGCTTTTTGTTCTCATTCTAATTTTGCTTATAATGGAATATGGTACTATAATTGCATTCAAAAAATGGAATTGATCTGGTACCTTTTTCTTACCTGGCATTACAAACATCTGTTAATTACCAGTCCTCATTGGTTCTTCATTTTCATGCTGTTGCAGCTGTTGGTCAACTTTGCATATGAATGCTTGGAGCATTTGTCAGTATGAATTTTTGGGTTTTGAAGGCAGATGTAGAGTAACTAGTGAATGTTCTTTCTGCAGTACTTGATTATTTACAGAATATTCTTTGTTTCAAAGATGGGGATACCAGCGCAACAGAGAGTGGTGATGAGGTTCCTGTGGAACTGTACACTGCTTTTCAACACACACCAACGACAATTACTTTAACTGCTACAAGAGTTACAAAAGTCAATGATAAGAAGAGGAAAAAAAGTGGGGAGAAAGAACAGACCATAGCAAAATGTAAAAAAGTAAGTGAACGTAATTTCTTGTATTACTCTGTGTTATAAATTATAACTGTGACATCTCTTACCGAGGGACACTGGTTTTTAAAAACCAGGGTATTTTAACACTTGGTTTTAGCTTGAAATGTATTACTCTTCAGTAAATGTCTTCCCTTGGTGGCCCCCCCCACTTATTTCAAGTTAATATATGTTAGCTATGAAAGTTTAATTTTATAATTGAGGCAGAATTTTACATCAGGAATTGCATTTACTGGACTATTTGATATAGTTAGAGATGGACAGAAGAGACTTTGGGATGCCCAAAGAAGAATTCTTTTCAAGTATTCATTTGTGGTTGTTTTACATTCAGAAATGGTTGCTATCAGTTGTCCTGATGTGACTCCGTGTCCATTTATTTCAGTTGAAATTGTGTGGAAGTGTGCTCCCTAAGTTAGCCAGTAAACTGCTTTGGTAAACAGAATAATGACATTATACGGTTTAGCTACAGGTGTAAACAGTATCACATACGTGAAGACAAAATAGATATTAAGAAGTAAAGTACATGGAACCTACTGAATCAAGTTGCTTTTTGTAGTTCTGTTTCATTGGCTTGGATGAGAGTTTTGTCTTTTAAAAGAAGTCAGAATTAGTTACTGATGTCTTGTAAGAAGTTTTTAGTAAGATGTTTCCTCTTCAACAGACAATTCTGAACACAAATTTACTGCCATGTGTTATTCTGTTATCTCATATTTTGGCTTGGATTCTGAAATTCTAGAGAGTCAAGTTGTAGTGTGGGAGAAGGGTAGAGGTACCTGGACTCTCCTATGGCTTACGTTGAAATGCTGAATTGGTTTTTAAAATGCATTTTGTGAGATGTAACCTCTTACCTTTCTGAGATTTCACCATAGTTTGTTCTGTTGTTTTCGTCTTGCACGTTTCACTGAAAAGCTGTAATTTGTTAATAGATTTTGAATTCCTTAAGAGAGTTTGTATTTCTTCTAGTGAATATATATATCTAATTTTATTCCAGGCATTTCGAGAAGGATCCAGGAAATCTTCACGAGTAAAGGTAATGTGATTTTGTTTGGGGTTTGTGTCAAACTTTAATTGTATATTACTTAAATAATAAGAAGCATTAAGAGTGTAATTGGGGCTATACATTAAGCACTAAGATATTCTCTTCTTGATAACTAATGTACTACATATGCATCACAGTGATTTTAAATTATGCACTACATCTTTATGTCCTGGAATTTAACTGAAATAATGTCGTGCAAATTTTTATCCTGAGAATAGGTGATTTTCAAGAGCCTAGTGGATGAATTGGGGCTCATTTGTGCTATATAAGGGAGTAAAGTTGAGTACACACCTCATTCAAACTTAGCTCCAGCTTTTTATAACTCTTAACCAGCAAAATAATGTGATATCTGTATTGCATTTGAAAGATAAATTAGCATTTCTGCTCTGTCATACCCTCCGTGTATACATCTGATGGGACTCCACTCACTAGTACTTTCACAGCCTGAGGAGTCATGCTGGGAGGTCTGCTTTGTAAGATTGAAGTGTTACAGCAGACTTTAAATTTTCTGTGAGATAAAAATATGCCTGGTGTGAGAACTAGGTATTTGCCATAGTTCGCTCATGCTTGGGATGTATAAAAACAAGTGGGATGCAATTTATGCCTCAAATTTATAAAATGTGGCTTCTGAGTAGTGAAGATAGAATTGGGGAAGAAAAATCTCTATTGTATGGGGGTTTTTTGAATATGGTGCTCCTAAGGTTCCATTGTGGTTTTTTCATGGTTTTCTTAGCATCACACCTTTTTTAATGCTGTTTGTGTGTATGGTTTTCTTCATGCACAAAAGAAATGTAAACAGGTAATTTGAATTGCTGAACTACTTGTGTTTTATTAATATTTAATAGTGTCTCTGCTCAGGTGGATAGAAAAGGGAGCGTTGGCTGGCTGCTGCTGTCCATAAGGAGCTTTGGTTGGCTGCAGCCTGGCTGCTGCTTGTGAGGTCTGGAGGTACAATGGCACTTTCTTTAAAAGTGAAAGGATCTGAAGCACTGCAGAAGAGAATTGTGTAGTGAGGAGCAGAGAAGGAGGGAAAAATATGTGCAAAGCCTGTGACGTTGAGTCACAACCTTAATGTAGTCGGTGTAGGATTAGTAAAGTTTAGTAAGTTGTGCAGCGGAAGAAAAGATACAGCATGACCCTTGAGGTTAAAAGGGGAAAACCAAGTCTGTGTATTACAGGATAAAAGCTGGAGTTCTGTATATTTGCATATGTTCACAAAAGTTGAGTGGGCGGAGAGATGTGACCCTCCAACTCCCGCACTCATAGATTCGTGATACAGTGCAGTTGTGGGAGGAAACAGTGTCACTCTCCATTCTCATCCCACTGAAAGCTAGAATCTTTGTTGAGGAGGGAATGTATTCCTGAACTTGGGTGATATTAGTGAAATAAAATTCTTGAAAAAATGTGATGTGACTGAATTCAACTTGAATATTTTTAAGTAATGCAGAGTTTTATACTAGACTTCCTTAAAAACCCAAACCTTAAATCAATTCAGTCAATACCTCTGCCCTTCATTTTGTGTCTTCTTGTAGAATTTTTTTTTTTTAATTTTTGTATAACTTGCCTCCTAATATCTGGTCACTTACTTTAATTTTTAGGGTTCAGCTCCAGAGATTGATCCTACTGACACTTCAAACTTCGGGTGGGAAAATAAAATCAAGGCATGGATGGATCGTTATGAAGAAGCAAATAATAACCAGTACAGTGAAGGTGTCCAGAGGGAGGCACAAAAAATAGCTCTGAGATTAGGCAATGGAAATGACAAAAAAGAAGTCAGCACCAGCAATTTGATTTTCAAACCTCCAGTAGAGGTAATGAGCGGTGCCTTGTTGTGTTATTACGTGCTCTGTTTGCCATGAGAAAAAATATTCATATAGATGCCTTTAAAAAAAACAAGTAAAAACCCCCAGAGACTTAACATCAGAATTTTAACATTTTTCAGAATTTGAAATTTATTTTTATACATTCTGTATCATCCCTGGTTATGTTTATATTAGCCTATCATTTATCCTAAAAAGCAGCTAAGGTGTTAGTCAGAGCCTGAACATTGGATTGTCCGTATACTGGTTTTTGTCAGGCAGTCAACTTTGTTGCTGTTTCTCTGTGAGGAATGTAAGGAGTGGTTAGAATAGATAGAAGCATAGAGGCTGAATCCGTTTGGGTTTTTTTTTCTATGTGTATCAACATGTTCACTGTCTACATTTTTCTTAAGGTGTGGTAAGTGTTCTGTATGTTCCTGAATGATATTTCTTATACTGATTTTTTTTTTCTTTTTTTACTCACATGATCCTGTGATTTCTAGTTCATGAAGAAAATGTGCAATGTCTTTTTTTAGCCTTACTCTCAGTTACTTGCAGGCTTAAAATCAGAGGCATGTAAAAGACCATAGCACTTTGTAGCAGAAATCTTGAGGAATAGTTACTGTAGCAGATTAATGGAAGCATCTTTGCTTCTTTTTCTTGAAGACCATCATGGCATATGGGACACCCTCCTTAGAGGAATATCCCTACTTACAGAGCCTTTTGCCTACATAGAGGCTACTTCCTTTTTGGTTGGTGATGACAGTTATGAGAGGTGTGAGTTCACTAATTGCCAGGGTATGTATTGGTTTTTAATTAAAAGCCGTCCTTCCGTCTAAAGACATGCAAATAAATTTGGAAACTCTCTCAGGATTCTGTTACTATGTTACTTTCCTGTTCTGTTTTTTCCTTGAATGAATTGTGAATGTCATTTTATGTGTGCATGTTTTGTTTTGTTTGAAGGAATTGGAGCCTTTTGAAAGTGTTGTGCAAAACAATGCAGCAATTCTTCTTAGTCATGGTGATAGTTAAGTGCACTAAGGGATATAGTACTTGAATTGTGAGAACATGAATAAGTTGGTTTTCAGCCATGTGCTGGAGAACTAGGGCTGAAGCATTCCTTTAATCTAAATTCATAACTAGTCACATTGGTAGGGGAACAGCACAGTTCGGTCACTTCAGTCTGGAGGTTTACTTACTAGAAGGGTTTTTAATTCACATAAAATTGCTTAGTAGTTGTGAAAGTGTAATCTGCTGTTAATAATAGTGGAAAAATTATACTGATACCTCATGAATGAATCTATGTCTTTGCAGAGTTACGTGCAAAAAAACAAGAAAATTTTAAAAGCTGCCAAAGACCTGCCTCCCGATGCACTTATTATTGAATACAGAGGAAAGTTCATGCTGAGAGAACAATTTGAAGCTAATGGATATTTCTTTAAAAGGTTTGTTTATTCCAAATGTTTTAGTAAAGTGACTGTTAAAATGGTGTTTTGCCAAACTCTTGCCTCAAGTACAAGTGGGTCTTAGTTATTAGCACTGTCTTGCATTTTACTGTTGTGTGATTAAAAGTAATGGCAGCTGGAATCTGGTCTCCCCCTTTCTCTTCTGATTATCCTTACAGATGTGTTCAGGAGCTAGTTTCCTCTTTCTTAGTTCTTCCCTGGTTACAGGATTCCTACATTCTCGGTTGGGTAGTTTTGTACCTTAAACCAGGGGTTGACCGGTTCTACCATCCTAAAATAATTCGTAAGTTAATGGCAAAGACATTATCTTTTGTGAGAAAAACAGATTTTAAGTGCATCAGGCTAAGAATGAAATTGGACAATGGTTGACTTGGGGTCACTTTACTGCCAGAGTTCTCTAATTGGTTAAATTATTGAGCCATGCGTGACTGCTGCCTTGTTTCTGTGGGTTGTTTTCAATGCTGCCACTAACTGCCTGGACACACCTAGTTGGGAATTTTCAGGAGGCCCATTGGAGGAGATAGAACACATGGCTTTAGCTCAGGAAAGATGGACGGGTTCCCTGGCTTTTGCAATAGCAGAACTTAAACCATGTCCTGGCGAATTATTTGAATGTCCCCTTGCTTCAGGAGGGTTAGGTGGTAGTGGTGCTGCAGGTGTTAGCCAAGCACATGAAGGTGTTACTTTTTTTATATGGTTCTACGTGGTGTATAAATTTCTGAGTTTCATTTCAGGGCCTGTCAGAAGTTTTAAGAAATCTCATAAATCTTAACCTTGTGTCTTCCATGTCTGGTGGTTGACCTGTTACTGTTCTCCCTTTAGATCCTTTGCATAAGGTACTGTAATTCCAATTTGAGGTATTCTGAGAAAAAATTTGGAGAATGTACCAGTTAAAATCATGAAGCTTAAATGCAAGCATGTCATTCTTAGATTAAGCCACAGATTTGGTGTATTGTGTCAAACAGCATGTTATCATGTCAAACAGCACATGACTAATGTGAAGAATAAGTGCTATTTAGCATCTTTGAAATGATAAAACTACTGGGTTTTTTGTATGTTTTTCAGGCCCTACCCATTTGTTTTATTTTATTCCAAATTCCATGGGCTAGAAATGTGTGTTGATGCAAGGACTTTTGGGAATGAAGCTCGATTTATCAGGCGTTCATGTACACCAAATGCAGAGGTGAGTATATTTATGAAGTTAAATTAGGTTTTATTTACTTAGAAGTCCCCTTTTCCTTCAATAATTTAAGCAATCCCTACAATTGTTATACACGTACTTAGAAAAAAGAAAGTAACTCATGATAATATGATATTCCCTTGAATATAGGTGAGGCACGTAATTGAAGATGGAACAATTCATCTTTATATTTACTCCATCCATAACATTCCAAAGGGAGCAGAGATTACCATAGCGTTTGATTTTGATTATGGAAATTGGTAAGTATTTGAGAATGATGTTCTAAAATACATCAAATGCTCATTTGGTTACTTTGCAATTCAGAATGGCTTTGGTTTTATGTCTTTTACTTTCTTGCATGCTCTAATAACACAGGGCTCCTTAGGCACTGTATTTACAGTAAACAGTGTGTGCGTGCGCAGTTTCTTCTGTATTTTTATTACTGCACTTCTGTGGTCTGCTCTTTTAAGCCAACTTGGATGCAGTGCTGTGTAGATGTGCCTTTGCTACCTGACCTGAACTAAGTATGACCACAGAGTACTACCTGTATTAATCACCTTTGATTCAGACTGCCTCAGGAAACCTGGCACTTAAGAATTGTTCTACATCCCTCTTTAATATCTTTATCAGTGACATAGACAGTGAGATTGAGTGCACCCTCAGCAAGTTTGCAGATGACTGGAAGCTGAGTGGTGCAGTTGATACAACAGGACAGGATGCCACCCAGGGGGGTATGACAGACTTTAGAACTGAAAACACACGAACCTCCTGCAAGACTCCCTGCACCTGGATTGGGGCAGTCCCAGTACAGACTGGGAGAAGAACTCGTTGAGAGCAGTCCTGCAGAGAAGGACTTGTAGGTTCTCGTGGGTGAAAAGCTGGACATGAGCCAGCAGCATGTGCCTGCAGCCCGAAAGCCAACCACAACCTCAGCAGCATCAAAGCAGTGTGACCAGCAGATTGAGAGAAGTGATTCTCCCCCTGTGCTGTGTTTTTGAGATCCTGGAGTACTGCATCCAGGTCGGGAGTCCTTGGTACAAGAAAGTTATGGACCTGTTAGAGCAGATCCAGAGGAGGGCCACAAAGATGGTCAGAAGTCTGAGGACCTCTCCTATGAAGACAAGGCTGAGAGAGCTGGGGTTGTTCAGCCTGGAGAAGAGAAGTATCAGGGGAGACCTCATTGCAGCATTCCTGTTCTTAAAGGGGGCTTAAAAAAAAAAGGGGGGGAGAGGGACTTCTTACACGAGCAGATAGTGGTAAGACAGGGGAGAATAGTTTTCAAGTAAAATATAATAGAATGATAGCATGGTTTGGGTCAGAAGGGATCTTAAAAGATCATCCGGTTCCAGTCCTCCTTTCTTGGACACCTCCCACTAGACCAAGTTACTCAGAGCCCTGTGCAGCCTGGCCTTGAATGCTTCCAGGGGTGGGGAATCCACAGCCTCTCTGGGCAGTATGTTCTGGTGCCTCACCACCCTCACAGCAAAGAATTTCTTCCTAATATCTAATCTAAGCTAAAAAAATTGGAGAAGTGTTCAGGGCCCAGTTGGATGGGGTCCTGAGCAAGTGAGTGGCATCTCTGCTCATGGCAGGGGGTTTGGAAGCAGATAATCTCTAAGGTCCCTTCCAAAATGAGCATTTGTATGACTCTGTGATCTCTCACGTGAAAAGAACCTGAGAAATTGCTGGTTGATAGTTTTTTTGGGTTTTGTTATTTATCCTTTTAAAAATGCATCGTAGTTGTGTTTAGTACCTACAGCTGACAGCTCTGTCAGTTGAATGTGTTTGAATAACATTTCCTATGTATCCCAAGTGCAGCTTAAAATTGTGCAAGTGACTCTTGAGTTCACTGTGCTCGTTCTGTAAATTGTGTCTGTCTTGGCATAAAGAAAGAACTCTGCCTTTCGTGCTTCTGTTCATTTTGTGGTGGTTGTATTTCCACCTAGGATTATACTCAGATTTTATATGTCTTCTGTCTTTTAAGCAAATACTGAACTGAATTTATAAGAATTCTGTGTGGCAGCCAACCAGTTAACCGGTAGATGGGATTTTTGAGTTACAGCAGTATTGTATATCATGGTGAAAACTTGAGTCACCTGCTTTTTAATGTGGTTGGTTTACATTACAGCAGATGTCTAATGTGAAGTACATCAGCTTATGTGATTTAGTATTGAAAGATCTCATTGCTGTATAGCCTAATCAAATACACCTTCTTGCATTTAATTTACTTGCAGTAAATACAAAGTGGATTGTGCTTGCCTCAAAGAAAATCCTGAATGTCCAGTTCTCAGACGTTCTGAGCCTACAGAAAACATCAATACTGGATATGAAACCAGAAGGAAAAAGGGAAAGAAGGAGAAAGATGTTTCAAGAGAAAAGGAGACTCAAAATCAGAACATCACACTGGACTGTGAAGGAGCAGCCACCAAAATGAAAATCACAGATAATAAGCAGAGAAAGCTCTCTCCTCTCAGGCTGTCCATTTCTAATAATCAGGTATTGACACAAAGATGCTCAGAAATAAAAGCTTTTAAACACAGATACTCTCCTTTTGTAGCTACTAAAGGAATTTTAATAAGTCACTGAAAAGGGATATGGAGATCTATCAGAAATCAGAATGGTGGATAAGCTGTTCAGAATTTTGTATACTATTCTCAGTTTTCCTTAGTATTTGATTGTATTTAAAAATATGTTGCTTCCCATACCACCTTTAACTATACTTTTTTCCTCTGAATTTCTTTGTGGCTCTCTAATGTGAATGCCTCATGTCGTGCTTTCAGGAGCTCATTTCATCCTGAAGTGCCTTTTGATTAGTTGCCTCTGTTACTTAGGAGCAGAGTATTTTAAACATGGCAATAATTAGCCCTGCTCCTGTAACAAAACTCCAACCCAGAATACTAAGTGTTGAATGCAGCTAGCTCCATGTTTGATAGAGCTCTGCAGCTCTGTGTTTAATTCAAAACATACCTCACTCCTCCCAACTGAAGCTGAATACTGGATAATGGGCAGATAGTATGGTACAGCCACCTGGTAATGTACCATGATGGTAAATTTTAAATTGATCTTTCTTTTAATATATCCATATTTGAAAGAACTGTTGGAAGAGGTTTGCAACACATAAATTATGAACTTATACTGCAGAGCAGCTATTAAAGTTAACTGTTTAACGTTACTTTTGATATAATGATCTGAGGAATCTTAGTTCTGTGTAGCTTTTAGCTTTCTGTAGTTTACAAGAGGAGTAGAGCTTCTGTAAAACAGTCGTTTCCATCTTTCAGGAGCCAGATTTTATTGATGATATAGAAGAAAAAACTCCCATTAGCAATGAAGTAGAAATGGAATCAGAGGAGCAGATTGCAGAAAGGAAAAGGAAGATGGTAAGTTGGGAAGCAAGTAGCTGCCAAAAGTCATCACTAGGTCTTAGTGACACCTGCTATTCCCATGCTAATTGCTGCCTTTTTGTAGGCGTGTAGAATCCGAGTATGTGTGAAGTCAGATCCTTACATGAACTTACCCTTAAAATGCAAGAGTTTCTATTTGAGAACATTTCATCTGGGTTGATCACTGCTTTCTGACAAAACCTGCTTTTATCTTCAACTGTCTATTACTTTTTAACTGCCTTTAGATGATTTCTACAGTGTCTCTCTTAGATTTAATTATTTGTTCTTTACTATTGTGTGCTATTTGTGATGGTCATTTTTAGAGAGAGTGTTGGGAATTAGTATTTTGGCTATTCTATTTGAGTTCCCAACTTAAAAAGCCCCAGAAATCCTGTCTTTTAGAGGTTGGTAGAACAGTGTTACAAAAAGTAGCATTTAAAAATATAGGGGTTTTTGTTAGCATTCAAACATTTTTAGCACGTTCTTAAATCTGAAACTTGTTTTTTTGTCAGGGTTGGTCTGATTTGCAGGCCTTTCCTCAGCAGTCTCTGTTAATGGCAGTGATTGTAACATCTCCCTTTAATCTGAGCTTCTGCTGAACTTTATCTTCATGTCAGCATATGTTTAACACTTTCTGAAGTACTTTAAAAATTGGGAGAGAGTATTTAATTACATATTTATATGCATGAAAGATTATGATCAAAATTGATCATGATTATTGTTAAATCCATCAGACAAGAGAAGAACGGAAAATGGAAGCTATCCTGCAAGCTTTTGCCAGACTAGAAAAACGAGAAAAAAGAAGAGAACAGGCTTTGGAAAGAATCAGCACAGCAAAAACTGAGGTTAAATCGGAATGCAAGGAAGCACAGATTCTCAATGATGCTGAATTTATTCAGGTAGTTATCTGGAGCTTTATTTTAAATCTAGCTTTTAACATTGCATATTTTGTCAGTTTGGATGTCGAACTGCACTTCAGGATGTACGAATACATTTTTTTTTCCTCCCTCTGAACTCAAATACATTTGACCAAAATCTGGGTGCTTCTTTGACATTATATTAGTTCCTAAATTTTTTTCCTAATAAGACACGTATAGAATTATTTAATGAGGAATATCTGTTACATGAATTTATGCAGACATGCACACACACCCCAGCTGTGTAATTCAGTCTGTCTTTGAAGTTCAGGATAGAAGCATTTACCAGTGTTGACTTTAGCCACAGGAGGGGGCTTTCCGTAGGCACTGTCTATAACCAGTGGAGAACAATTTGCTTCTTTGGTGGTTTATTCAGGAACTCATTATAATCCTTTCTGTTATTTTAAAGGAAAGAAGTTATTAAAATGTATTTTTTCTGAGTTCTTGCAGATGATACCTAATGTCTTATAAACAGTTATTTACCCTATTGCTGCTGGATGCTTCTTAGTTTGCAAATACTCATACAGGTTCTCAGTTCAGGTTGCTTTCCTGAACAGTTCCTGTCAGCATTCTGTGAAGTACCTTTTGTGCAGTGCTAAATACCTAGTAAACTATAAATTGCCAAAAGAATATTGGACTGAAAGACATCATGATGTAAGCAGTTGATTTTGAGCTTACAGATAAATTAATGCGGTGTGTCAGTTCTTACACAAATCTGTCCTGGTCTGACTGGGGTGTGTGAGTACTCTACAAGTGCTTGGGAGGAAAATACATGAAATCTTCTCATTTGCCTTTAAGAAGGAGAGAAATATTATCTCTGAAATATCGTAGTTCTGACAATAAAAATTAGAGGCTTTTTGGACCTGTAAAAGAAGAGGGAACTGACATTTTCATCTAAGAAAGATAGATAGCTCTAAATGTGTGTGGGATCTGCTTATGAGACTTCTTTGTTGTACCAGGAACCTGCAAAAGAAGAAACTGCCACCAAGCCTACCCCAGCCAAAGTTAATAGAGCTAAACAGAGAAAAAGCTTCTCACGGAGTAGGACTCACATTGGACAGCAGCGCAGGCGGCACAGGACTGTCAGCATGTGTTCAGATATCCAGCCATCTTCTCCTGACGTGGAAGTAACTTCACAACATAACGAAACTGAGAATGCTGCACTGGTAGCTGAGCCTGAAGCCGAAACTGTTGTTACAGAAATGGTTACTGAAACAGAAGCTCCAGCACTTAGTAAATGCCCTACTAAGTATCCTAAAACAAAGAAGGTATGTGTCTTGAGGTATGGGGAGAAGAGAATGGACTTTAACAGAGTTTTAAAAAGTTAGACTGCTTCATCAGTATGCAACTGCTTTTTTTTTTTTTTTAAACATTGACTCATTTCTTTAAAAATCACCATTGTATAGCCAGTCACTGGTAATAGATTTAAGTTTGTAACATCCTCTGGTAGAAGTTCTTTTGGATTTTAAGAGACGTCCAAAATACATCTTTCAGAGCAATTTTGGAATAAAATGTTTCCTAAATGGGCTTTCTGAATGGATTGAAATACTACACATAATCAAAACATACTTAATTTAAATAAAAAAAAAGGGAAATAAGTTGCCTTTCCGTCCTTTGTTCATTGTATGGTTCAGATAGCAAACAGAATATCTCCAAGGAAATAATTAACTTCTAGTACTTTCCAAATGTCTGTTCTGAAGTGAATGGGTTTAAACACCCAAAATTTATGTGCGTGTTTGGAGAGAACATTCTTCTTTAGTGTTTTGTTTTTAAGGTTTTTTCCATTGGACTACATTGCAGAAAACTTCTAAGAAATGGCACAATATTTAAAGACACTTAAAAATCTTAAATCTGCAAGTGTGAATAAAGCAGTAAAACTTTCTGCTTTGAAATTTTACAGACTGCATTAAAAGGTGTTTGTAGCTTGATTTACAAGAAGTTCTGGAAATTTTATATAGTGGAGGGAAAGGGGAAGGAAGTCGTAGGTTGAAACTTCTTGTCAAATGAACAATAACAGTTTTAAGATGGTTTTATCTTAAACCCCCAAACACACCTTAGATTTTTTTTTTCAAGAGGCACCTGAGTCATCCTGTAACACTGCTTATTGCATCCCTATTAAATTCTTATGAGAAGGAAGACTAGGATCTTCCTTTCTTCTGCATTGCATAGCAGGAAGGAACAAAGATGTCCCATGTCTGAACTTTACTGCACTTCTTTGTTGTTTCATAGTATTAAGGATGAATATCTGTGAAGTGTCTCATTACATTGCACTCAGTGTACTATAAGTGCAGAGAAAGTACTGCTTTAAAAATTAATTAAATAGGTTTGTAAAAGACAAGCAACTTAAATATATTATGATAATCTGTGTTAAAGCCTTACTATCACATTATTATTATTATTTAGTGTGCTATTTTTGCATGTCCTTAATTTTGAATCACTGTAAAATTTAGGAGGTTAGTTTATCTGTTAATAGAAACTCAAATCCACTGGCATGTTTTTTAAAAACACTGAACTACCTAAAGAAAACCCTTTTTTGACTAATGTGCCTCAGTCCATGTGTTATAATTTAATACAGCTGCAGTTAAAGATTCATGTTCAAGGCACCTGCCTGAGATGTTGACTGAGGCACAGTCCTGACAGTACAGAAATCTGATGAGGAGTTTAAGTTTGTTATATTAATGTTACAATATTTCTCCTCAGCCTAGTTGCTCAGGCACAAGTTTAAAATTTGCTTTGGAATTTTATTACTAAATTGACATTCTTAAGTACAGTTGATAGGGGCACTTGTATAGTATGTTCGATGAGAATGAAATTCAGAAGAACTAAATGTAGTTTACAACAACAACAAGAACAAAAAAAAAAAAAGCCCCAAACTGGTATGTAAACAAATCTGTAGTGATTTCTTCTGCTATCCCCATTATTTCACTGAAACTGTCCTCATTCTCGCTGTGTATTTTTAAACTTGCAGCCTGGACACTAACTGTTTAATTTGTGTAATGGTTGACAAGATGAATAATTAGACTAAAAAATTTTTAAATGCCACTAATAAAAACCCTCATAAAACAGTAATTTCTTTTCTCTCTCTGTTTAGCACTTGGTCAGTGAATGGTTAAGTGAAAAGAGTGATAAAGCAGGGAAACCTACAGACAGTCTACCAGAAAGGCCTCTACGAATAACTACAGACCCTGAAGTTCTGGCTACTCAGCTGAATTCTTTACCTGGTCTCACTTACAGTCCACATGTTTATTCAACTCCAAAGCACTATATTCGTTTTACTTCACCATTCCTTTCAGAAAAAAGGAGGAAAAAAGAACCTGTGGAAAACATTACTGGCTCTTGTAAGAAGGTAATGCTTCCCTTCGCTATGGTTCCCCATCCCATATTAATTAAAAAGAAGTCTATTTGCTAGCATAAATTTAGGCAGAAGAAAAGCTGGTTGGCAAAAAATTTCAGTGGTGATACGCACTTTGAAATGTTCGTCATTAAACTTCTGAGTCACTAATGTGAACTTGTTGTCTTACAGCGTTGGTTGAAGCAGGCTCTGGAAGAAGAAAATTCAACAATGATTGATAGATTTAATTCACCATCACAAGAGAGATCTAGAAGTCCAGCCATCAATGGTGAACATAAAAGTCCTCTATTACTGAATGACAGCTGTTCCTTAACAGGTGTGAAACTTTTACTAGTACACTGCATAAGAGTTATATCAACGTAGCTGATTGTGGAGAACTGTGTTTTTTAAAGTGATGTTACTTTCTTTGAAAGAAATGCTTCATTGCATAGGGCTTGGGATTTTTCCCCCCTTTAATGTACGTTAGATAAGAAACCACCATATCTCATAGCATTTACAGTCAACAAAAGACTAATGTTTTTGACTGTTAATAGTAAGAGATCAGGTGTTAAATTACTTTCCATGCTGTTCTGTATATTTAGATTCCTTTAAAACTCATTAGGCCTGTGTAGCACACAGGGGAAAAGCTGTGTAATCTTTTAGGCATAATAGAAAATGGGAACGCACTAAAAACTAAACACACTTCCTTAAGGATATGGAACCTGTCAGATGATTGCTGTTTACAGTCCTGAACTTACAATCTCCACTTTTTAGCTGAACAGTCTTAAAAATGCATAAAGTTGACTTTCCCTTTTCTGGAGACACAGACAGTTCTTCCCAGCATCTTAACACACAGATTTCAGTTACTGATATATCTGTAGGCTGTTAAAGAGTTTATTTTTCAGGAAGTCTGTAGGCTGTTAAAAGTTCATCTCTCAGGAAGCCTGCCCTTAAAAGATTTTTGTAACCATGCAGGTTTTTAGTGTGGAATTTGTAATTTCATTACATAAAGTGACAACTGTAAGTGATTGCTGTATCTAGATATCTTCCAACTTTTTTCTAATTTTAACACACAGATCTAACCACACCACTGAAAAAGCGAAGACTGTATCAGCTGTTGGAGTCTGCATTCTCAGAAACCTCCACACCTACTCCTTCTCCCTATGCCACACCAACCCATGCTGACATCACTGCCTCCGAGCCATCCTTGTTTGCTACTCCTCCTAGGGTAAAAACAGAAGATGAAGCTTGTAGAAATGGTTACAAACCCATATATTCACCAGTTACTCCTGTAACTCCATGTATACATGGAAATACCATGCACTTTGAGGTGAGATTTATGAAGAATTTTAATGTGTTCAGAGAATGTGTTTGGACATTCCAGTGTCAATCGGTATTTGTACTCCTCTTACAAAGGGGGTTTTATATTTCTCCAAGGTAAAAAATAAATTGACTTGCAATTTCTTCTTCTTTATTCAGAATATTTCCTCACCTGACAGTTCCCCAGAAATAAAAAGGCGAGCTTACAGTCAAGAGGTAAGGAAACATGCACAAACCTGCAAAGGGGATCTTGATTTCACCTGTATGGCTGCACTGTTCTTAGTAAATGCTGTTCACCAGCCATTGCAGGTTTCTCACAATGTAAAGGGTAAATTCCCTATAGGTTATTTGCGTACTGCTTTTTATTTCCACTTTACCTGTTACATTCTCTATTTTAAACTGGTTTCTTTCTTTTTCCGTATCATTTAAAACTCCTCATGACTGTAATGGAAAGGAGTAACTACTGTAATTTCCAGACAGGAACAGAAAAAGAACACTTTGCTTTCCAGGCTGTAGTTAGATTCAGATTAACATTTCTCCTTGTTACCAGCATCTCTTAATTATTTTTGTTGATCCCAGTTATGCTCAGAGTAAGACAGCAGAGCACAAAGGTAGTAAATGGGCTTAGGTGGATTAATTGAGAACCATCAAGTGCTGTTGGAATGTGCCTGGGTACTCCCAGTGTGCAGAATGCATGTGTGTCCTGCTTTGTCTCAAAATTCAAAAGTGTCTTGGGAAAACTTTTTTCTCCTTCTTTGAAATAAGTGTTTTGACATTGAGGAGAATCTCCTTTATGTTGAGTTGAAGCAAGTGCTGTGTAGCTTCCTGGCCAGGGACTTGCTGCTGCTACCACTGCTCTCCTTCTTCTGCGAGTCATAAAATAAAATCTGGCAAATAATGTTTATTTTTACTTTGATTAGTGTGCATTTTGTTAAAATGCTTTAACCTAATACATGGGAACAGTAGAAATAAGTGTCTGGCTGTAGAATTGTTTCTTAAAACAGATAAATTCGTGGTACTTTAAGGCTTTTAATCCCACTTAGAGGCACAGCTAATTGTCAGAGTAGTTGCAGTTTTGATGGAGTGTGAAAAAATAGTTGATATGTGTTTTCTTCACACAGGGTTATGACAGAGCATCGATTCTAGCACTGAATTCTTTCAGAAATTCCAGCCTGACAGAAATGGGCCTGCAAGAAATAAAGACTATTGGATATTCTAGTCCAAGGAATAGGACTGATGTCACACGGCAGTGCACTGGAGAAATGGAATCTGTGTCAGACCTCCAGCTGGGACTCGAAGTAATTGAGCAAAGTGCACTGCATAAAAACCTGGAAGCCCCCACACATGATAGGACTGATGCAAACAGCCAACTAGAAACTGCTCATTGTGGACGGGGCACAATTTATTCTTCCTGGGTAAAAAGTCCTGACAGGACAGGTGTAAATTTCTCAATGAATTCTAATTTGAGGGACTTGACCCCTTCACATCAGTTGGAGGTAGGAGGTGGATTCAGAATAAGCGAGTCCAAGTGCCCAATTCAGGATGATGGAAGAGGCATGTTCATGGAAGCATCTGTTTTTTGTACTTCAGAAGATGGAATTGCACCTGGCTTTGGAAGGACTGTCAATAACGACAATTTGATGGATGGAAATTGCACACCCCAGAATCCTCCACAAAAGAAAAAGGTTATAATTTTAAGAATCATTTGGTCTGCCTTTCGTCAACTGCTAATGATACTTCCATAACAGAGAGAGCCCTAATGTAGTAAAAACCAACTGGTGGCTCATCTTTACATACTACAGTGTAATAGACATTTTTGAGGGGAAATAATGAAGGGCAAAGAGTAAAGCTGCATACAGCCATCAGTAAAGTTATTTTTTCCAAGTAATAGATACAAATTAACTTCTATTTCATATGAGTCTTAAATTAATTGCTCAATAAATTGCTTTTCAGGTTTGAAAATGGTTGCTTATGCCATTTGGTGTTACACTGTTCTATTATACAGGATATATAGTAGCATCATAGAGATGATATATGTGAACATCTGTTATGAATTACTGCAAGAAATTGCACTAACAGATTTAGGATACTCTGACTTTAAAGTCAGAACTGCACAGAAATACTTAGTTCCAAGGAATATTTTTCTTGACTTAATTTGGTTGTTGGTTTGGGGTTTTTTTATCAAATACTGTGTTTGAAAAATAAGTGCAATTCAAATTTGCTACTCTTCATGAAACAGTTCTTGTGGGTAAGTGGTGTGGTCATGGGCAACTCGAACCAGGATTGGAAGTTGCTTTGCATAGCTCTTAGATTGCATTGTAGTGTCAGGTGAGTCCCTTTGCAGGAAGGGTATCAGACATGTCTGATGATCTCCAGAGCAACAGCCTGCCAGTTCTGTCTCATCAAAGACTGTAGTATTCTTTCTTGTTTGAAAGATGTGACTTATTTTCTTTATGGAAGTAGTGATGAGGGGGGTGGGGGCATTTTCTGTGTGTGTACATACATGCTCCATGGGGTTTTGGTTTTTTGGTCACATTACAGCCCCTTGTATGTGCCTTTTCCCTTCTGGGCAGGGAGCATCCTGCTGGGGAGCACTCAGGATTCTTCCTTCATCAGTTCTCCAGCAGAACTGGGTTTTTGTTTACTTTGCTTCAGGCTGAGACATAAACAGAGCGAGATTGGTAGGAATTGTGTTCTTACCTGGTCAGGGTCCTGAGAATTTTATAGATCCGTGTGTTTTACTGCAGCCCTGCTGTTTTGGCAAACGCCAAAAGAAAACATAAGCCAAAATTTCTGTAACTTCACATTCTTCTTTGTCTGAAGGCTAAATCAGTCTTAACAAATCCCAGCAGCACTTCATGCTTCAGTAATCCTCCTCCTTTCTCTTGATGACAAGGATTCTTCCAGACTGTCACTGATGAGGGCTGATGCTACACTAATCCCTGAATAAAAAAAAGGTGTGGCTGCCCCCTATCACCCCTGAATCCTGGGATTCCTGTCTAAAATTTTCAGTTTGAAGAAACAACCAGAGAAAATTGCATCTGTATCGCTGAAGGAATGGGCTTTAGGATTTCCAAAGACACACACACAGAAAAATTTGCAGGTTTTGACCATATAAAAGGAGGTGGTGGTGGTGGGCTAGATCTCACCAAAGGTGAAAGGTGAGAATTCAGGAATTTTGTAGGAAATAAATAGAAGCCTTTTTCCTAGGATCACATAAGACAGGAATATCCTAGGGCAGGTCTTTGGAGGAGGTTTTTTCATATTTCAGTGTTCCTGTGAACATTTGTTTTGCTCTTTTCTCTTACCATTGCACAAGTTTTTCCCTTTTCAGTACAGTCCTGTTTACAGTGGCCACACCACAAAGGCTTTGTCTGCTCTTAACATTTAAGCTTTCTTTAAGTCAATATTCTTCAAGGGTCTCTGTCACATGGTGTGGAAATACAAAGTTATTTGAAAGCAAGATCGGTTCTTCACCTGAACTTTTTTATGAAAAATTAGGTACTTCTGTTTTTACCCTGACATGTGGTTGAGTCTCTAATGGATAGAGATCTGTTTGAAAGCAAACAAAGAAAAACCCTTAGGACTGCAAACAAAGCAGGCTGCCTTGCTTTTCTCTGTGTGTAAAAATGGATGACAGCTTTTATTGAGGACTAAACCAGTTAAACATTAATTTTTTTTCATTATTACACATTAGTTTCTTGGTTTGGATGTTGTATGGTTCAGAGTAGGTTGTTGATAACTGGGAGAATTAATAGATATTAAATGTCATTTTCACCAAAGTAGTGTAATTTCTGAATAAAGTAGGTCTGAAGGTCAGTATTTCAGCTCTTTGCTTCAAATCCTGAAGATTCATAGTGAAAATGTTGGAACATTATTTTTCTCACTGATGACAACTTACTGTTTAAACTGATTTCTATTCTGTGGAAGGTCTGTGTAGGGATTTTACATACATACATATAAAGTAGAAACCACTTTTCACATATCATTATTTTTGACAATAAACTTAGAATTAGCTTAAGAATATGTTCTTAATCAGTCTCTTTTAGCATGCAGTAAAGACAGAAATTCAAAATAAACTCTGGGGAAAGAATGAAAATTTAAGTTGCAAATTCTGTATGTTAAGAAAAATGTATGAAGAGCTTTGATACATGCAGCAGAGTGAAGCAGAAGGGTAGTGGGTTTTTCATACAAGGGAGTCAGGCTGAGAGCACAATGTGACCTCGAAATTTGCTTTACTGTATCAGTATACTCTTACTAATGCTGCAGTTCCAGGAGAAACTGTCCCTTGTAGCTACAACCACAGGGAAACTTTTTGCTGACTTGTGTTATCTGCTTCTTCCCTGAGGCAGAATACATACTTGTTCTCTTGGCAGAAGCTTTTTTATAACATCATCTTTACAGTTTTTAGTAGCTCAGTGCTCTGTAAATTCACTGCAGATGTGGTGAAATTTCTTCAGTTAATCTGTCTTCATTTTCTTTTAGAACCAATTAAATGGTCTTACTAAAATATTACATTTAATTGAAACTGAGAAATGAAAGAGGTAAAACTTCCCTTCTAATGTTTGTTTTCTGGGTTTTCTTGCTCCTTAGGTGTCCTTGTTAGAATACCGTAAGAGACAACGAGAAGCTCGAAAAAGTGGCTCAAAGACAGACAACTTTCCCCTGGTTACTGTATCTCCTCATGCTGCTGGTGGAGGAAATACAAGTAATAACAATGGTGCTAATGATGGGTATAACAACAGTGGTGAAAATGGGGAGCAAACTGATAACACTGCAAGCCTGCCTTTACCACTGCCAGCTACTGTTTATAATGCAGCTCCAGAGGACAATGGCAACAACTGTGCAATTAAGGAATCTTCCTCCAGTGAGAAGAATGAACCAGAAGTTCAGTGGTAAGCCACAAAACTGTAGGACTAAAATTCAGAAGAATTATGTACTTAAATCCAAGTCTTTCCTATTTGAAATTAGTTTCCATTAAGGGTGCAGTGGCAGATTACTGACTGGAAGTCCTTTCAGATTAGTGTTGTTGTCTCACCTCTTTCCTCAGAAATACAGAAGATACATCATAAAGATTAAAATATATTAAAAATTACCCATAAGACATTGGTTAAATTATTTTAATTCTGCTTTCCTTTTTTATTTTTTGAGAGCAAAAGAGGTATTAATTTGAGCATTTGTGTCCTTGTTTCCACTCCTTTGTCTGTGGACTGAAGAGAATGTTTTTCATGTTAAATCTCAGACCTTTCTAAAAGTGCTGTAGAGGAAGAGGGTGGAACAGGAGAATTATCTGTATTGATTAACAAAAGCTTCTGGAAGACCTTAGGAGGTCTGTGTTTCAGTCACGTGGCTGGAACATGTGTGGGATGTTTGCTGTAGCTCAGTTGCCAGGTGCAGGGCTGCAGCCCGGCCACCGGCTCCTGCTCAGGGAGGGAGCGTGTGATGACACTGACAGTGTTGTTCAGGATGGTTAAATGGTTCCCTTGTTTGCAGACCATGTGGTCAGTTGAATGCCATGCCAGGTACTCCTAACAACCAAAAATCCTGAGGAGAGATGGAGTATGGATGGGGATGAGATAGAGTGACTTCAGTCTGTATAAAACACTGCACATATTTTTCACTGTGGTTTTGGTAGCCTTAAAGTAGATGGTCAGCTGTGGTGACAGTGTTTCCAAAATGTTAGTGCAAAATAAACCCTGCAGATGTTCTTCATGCTGTAGTGAAGGCCTAACTGTGTTGGGGATGAACATGGGCTGAGGAGTTGAACATCCTTCTGCTCACATGCTCCAGCTGTTCTAGAAGCTGTTCCAGAAGGATTTTGTAGAGCCAGTTGAAGGGAGAGAACGTTAATTAAGTGCAGTCTTAAGCATTCCACCGAAAAGTGGCTGTAAGTTCACTGTGCAGAAGATACTGCACTATATTGTAATCAAAGGATGTGGAAACAGGCTAAACAGGCTGAACTGCTAGGATTTTGCAGTGACCCTGCACAGCAGCACCAAAATTTATTTCAGTGCACCAGTATCATGGAATAATGCCGTATGTCCTTGCCATAAAGGAAAGCAGAGTTTTGTGGAGTGTTGTTATTTATGATGTTCTTGATCAGGTTGTGATTGAGAGATGTAATCCATTGTAAGAGAGAAGATCAGACTGTCATTGTATACCCACTGTCTGGCAAGTAAATGTAGAAGCTTAAACAGAGGTATATTTGTAGTAGTGCACTATTTACAATTCTGGATCCACTGTTAAAGAGAAGATTCTTAACAACAAACAAATAAGGTGATTGTTTCTAGTTTCCAGTTTTGGAAGAAGACAGTTTTCTACAAATGGACACTAGGAACTAGTACCTGTGACCTTTATTGGTTTACTTTTCAGTTGTTTAGAAAACAATCCCACAGATCTACAGGTATTCCCTGATTGAGAGGAATTACTAGTTCCTGTAATGTAATAGGGTTGCAGGAAATCAGTGTATTTGAAGTGGGAGAAAATACATACAAGCCACTTAATAATGTTCCTTATGTACATCCAGTTATTTGGTTTTTACATGCAGCCAACATTGTAAACTCTCTGACTCTGTATTTGCATGTACATTGTCCTAAATTTGGTCCGTGGGAGTACATTTTAAATTTAAAATGTGCTTCTCTCTTGCAGGACTGCATCAACCTCTGTGGAACAAGTAAGAGAACGAAGTTATCAGAGAGCTTTACTTCTCAGTGATCATAGGAAAGACAAGGACAGTGGTGAGATGATTTATCATGTTGATGGTATATAAATCTAACCAGTTCCCCCATGGTAGTCTGTAATCATTCTAATACTGTGTTTGGGTCTGCTTCATCTGTAGGGGGAGAATCATCTTGTAGGCCATGCTCACCGTCTCATGTTCAGTCTCCATCTCATTCAAATCTCATTTCCCAGTTGCAGCTTAAGGTCCCTTCTTTGACTGAATTTATGGAAGGTCAGTAAGCAGATGACCTTGTGTGACACTTAAAATAGTCTCTTGTAACAACTTTAATAGCTCTTTTAAAGTCACATATAAAGAGCTTAGTGATCTCTGCAAAAGATTTGATTTTCCCACTTTGATTTATCTCTGCTTTATTTCTATAGAGCCTGATTCTGAAAATCCAGAGCCAACTTCTGAATGTCCGTCCCCAGATTCTTCACAAAGGACTTGCAAGAGTCCGTCAAAAGCAAGCAAGGTAAAGCAACAGTGTTTGCACAATAAGCATAGGAATAGCCATATACATCTGTGATTTATCTTTAAAAATGTTAATCTTATTGTTTACTACTTAGGTTACATACATACACGTTCATCTATCTGTGCAGTAATTTTACACAGGTAAACACTTGTAAGAATATTTATCCATACACTCTGAAAAGTCGGTTTGTGTGCTGTTCCTTCAGTATCTGTACGTATTTATAGATGATCTTGCATTTAGACAGAGAAGAGATGGTGTCTGGATTCAGTACCAGTGCTGTTCTGAGGGGTGAGTGCTGAAGAACTGGCACTCAGAACCAACAGCAGGGATGTGATTTACCCTTAACAGGAGGTTGCTCTTGTCATGGCAGGGTTTGGCACTGTTTTGTCAGTCAGGGCACTGATAATACAGAGGAGGATGTTGAATAATAGCCTGCGCCATATTAAATGAAGTAATTCAGGTTGTAATGTTTAGTCTGCTTGCTTGCACTACCTCAGCTTTAAAAAGTTAAATCACGCTAAAAATGGCTTTATTTTTGTAAATGGTCTTCTCTGGAATTACTTCTTTCAGATTCAGAAATCCAAAAGTTTTGACATATAACAGATTCAGACTTTGACCTGATGGGTCATATTTCTGTTACAACTTTAAAATACCATTACTAGTCTTTGACTTTGAAGACTTATTGACACATACTTGCTAAAAATAATGTCTTTCTAAGCTTAATCTTTCTGTTGTTCATGTTTTTCTTACACCATATTTTCTTATCCTGCACCTTGACACTTTTTTTTTGCCATCGGGGAGGGTATTCTGAGATCTTCTTTTCTCTCTGCTGCATGCATAGTTGAATATTTTGAATGTCTAGCACTGACTTGACTTTCTTTTCATTCCAGCCCTCTTCACCGAATCCTGTAGTTTCAACGCAGTCACTTGGGAAAACACCCACAAAACCAGATTCGCACTGGGAAACTGCAGCTAATGCACCTGAGACCGAATGTGCGAACCATCCAAAACCTGAGCTGCAACAAAAACAGCTGACAAACAACGTCCAAGCACTTTCAAAGAATCATCCATCTCAATCACATCTGCGCAGTTCTGCTGAGCAACTCTCCCATTCACAGAAGTTGCCTTCCGCACCTTTGAAGCTGCATTGCCCCCCTTCGCCTCATGTAGAAAATCCTCCCAAGTCTTCTACCCCTCACGCACCTGTGCAGCACGGTTACCTGTCACCAAAGCCTCACTCACAGCAATTGGGATCTCCATACAGACCTCATCATCCACAGTCACCTCAAGTTGGAACACCCCAGAGGGAAACACACCGAACCTTCTATCCGGCAGCACCGACCCTTCAGCCCAGTAATCAGCCACAGGCGAGCGGGCCCCTGTTCACTCAGACAACATCAGGACAATCCTCAGCTTCTTACAGTCAGTTTAACCAACAAAATTTGAACAGCAATGCGCCACCTCCCCCACCCCCTCCACCCCCTTCTTCTACTTACTATCAAAGCCAGCAGCCCTCTGGAAACTTTCAGAGCTACAGCCAGCTGAAGGGCAGCATACCCCAACAGACTGTGTTTTCATCTGGACCAAATCAAGCACTTCCTGGCACTGCAGGTCAGCAAACAGTGCCGGGACACCACGTAGCTGCAGGGCATTTTCTGCCGTCTCAGAACCCCAGTATTCATCACCAGGCATCGGCATCCGCCGCTCCGCCGCCGCCTCCACCACCGCCTGCGCCAGGGCCTCACCTTGTCCAGCAGCCAAGTACTCATCAGCAGCACTCTGTAGCACATGTTGTCGGTCCGGTCCATGCCATGGCAGTGGCTCCGGGATCGCACATTCATTCTCAAGCTGCTGGTCACCATTTGCCACCACCTCCTCCACCACCAGGTCCTCTCCCCCACCACCAACCTCCCCATCCTTCAACGGGACACCAAGGTTTGCAAGCACAACACCAGCATGTTGTAAACTCAGCACCTCCCCCCCCTCCACCCCCTCCCTCCAACGTTATCGGTTCGGGCCACCACCCGGCGTCAGCACAAGGGTTACACCACCCCTCTCATCAAGGACCCCCCCATTTCCCTTCAAATGCTCACACAAGCGTGTCCTCCTATTCCTCGCAAGCCCCACATCACACGACGTTAGGACCTGGACCTCAACATCAGCCTGCTGGCACAGGACCTCATTGCCCACTCCCTGGTCAGGGTCCTCACATCCAACCTCAAGGACCAAACAGTATTGCAACACCTACTGCTTCCGGGTTCTGCCCTCACCCCGGCTCCGTGACCCTTCCCCACGGAGTGCAAGGGCAGCAGCAGGCCTCGCCGGTGCCGGGACAGATCCCCATCCACAGAGCACAGGTGCCGCCCACTTTTCAGAACAATTACCATGGGTCAGGGTGGCATTAAAACAGATCCCTTTAGTTATAAACATTTTTAAAATGTTCTGTAATATAAACTGTGTATATTTAATATGTACCTATTCAAGGTACTTTTTAAAGCTTGTACATGATACTTTGTATAAAAGCAAACACCAGTGCTCTTCCATTGTATCCTTTCCATTTTTTGCTTTTTAAAATTCCTGAAAATGTGCTGTTAAGCCAGTATTAGGTATTTCTTTTTATTTTGTAAGTGGACATTCCAGCTGTTTTTTCTGGCAGTAGGTTTGATGCTGCATAATGTTTAAAATTTTATTGTTGCAGTTAAATTCATTTAGTGAAAGTTTTCTATATTACTTTTATACATATGTAATTAAATAAGTACACAGGCTAAGTGATGGCACTAACAGGTTTTTTTTTCATTTTCTTCTGTCAACAGTTTTTTGTGTGCATAGAGATAGGAAACAATGCAATACAGATTTTTATAGTTTTGGTGTGGACATGGCTTTTTGTTTCATCAGTTATTTGCAGAAATTGTAATTTAATGTATAGACTGTTTCTAATGTCTGACGAGTGCTGTAAATACTGTATTTCTTTCGCTTGTAAAGTTGCTTAAAGCTTCTTTCATTTGATATAGTATTGTATATAATAAGTCTTTTGCAAAAAAAAAGTGTGATCTTTGTGAAAGTAGTACAGTATATGATCTTTAATTTTTTTTTTAATATACTGTCACATTGCAGCACTGGTTGGGCATTTTAATTCATGTTAATAAATCACAATTATGTCAGTTTTAACTACTTGTCCTGAAAGGGTGGTATGTCAGCAGGGAAGTGGCCTTAGGTCTGTGGAACACCCCCTCTGCTCCCTGCGAGGCTGTTCACTTCCCTGCAGTTTCCAGCTGTGGCTTTACTTCTGTAGCACAGACAGATGTGTTACAGGCTGGAGGAAGGAGGTTGAGGAAGAATCCCCCCAGGCACAGCAGGGTCTTGGGTCAGTTTACTGATGTTAATCAGGGGCAGTGATGTGGTACAGTGTTGTGTGCCAGAGGTGTTCTGACCTTGGTTACAGCCGTGGAGCCACCTGCAGCTGTAGTTCATTGTAGTTCCTCTTTCCCTTTTTGTAGCTCATCAGGCCCTGCTGTTGGTGCAGACTTTGAGGAGTTGAGTGATTGTGATGCTGCAAGGGGCACAGAATGTTACAAACTATGTAGCACTTCGGTTTTTTAAGGGCAGTGGTTTTTTCCTGCAGCAGAAGAGCAGCAGCTGCTGTAGTGCTTATGGGTGCAGTTATTCTGTAGTGGGTGTGTGACAGTGTCCTTCTATCTCAGCAGTAACTGCTCTCAATTCTGCTCACATAACAGGACGGTGCTCAATGGCTCCACCTCAGAACCAGAGAGGAGAACCAGTGTGGGAGGAAACCTGAAACGGGATAGGAGGGGAAGTGGCTGCTCCTACTCACTGAAAAAAGTGGTAATTCTTTTTAACCTGTAGACAAGACTGGGGCCACTTTTATTTCTAATTTGCCTCTAATTAATTTTATTAGTTAAAATCAGACACTTAGAAATGCTTTCCTGAACACCTGCTGGCTCTGCAGAACACACACTGTGGGGAGTGCGCTATGTGTTGCACTAGCCTGATGTAGGACAAGATTAGGCCATCAACAGCAGAAAAACTGAACCCACTCTAGCTAGGAGTTGCTCATCACTGTTTTTGAAAAAAATCTGCATCAACCTCTTGAGCTCAGTATTCAGAACTGGTTGTCTGCCCCCGCTTCCACACCTCCATGAAGTGACAACATCATTTTGAGTGTAAAACACACACTGCAGGGCAAGGTCTTAAGTGCAGCACAAGGAGCTGCTGCACTGGGGTGCAGAGTGGGACAAGGCCACGCTGCCCCAAGTGCTTCTGCAGTGCCATGGCCAGGCTAGAGGGGAGAGCTGTGCCTGTTGTGCTCACTTGCCTGCCCTGGCTTGACCTGGCACTTTAATCCAGTGCCAGCATTTTCTGTGTATTCAAGAACATGGTTCTAACGTGCAGCAACGGGCACTACAGGGGCCAGGCTGGCTGTGAAGTTGAACATAATTTTTACCTCCAGTTCAAGTCCATTGTGGCATCATCCTTCGCACCAGTGTTGTCCTTGCAGCCATTACAAGCAGTTCCAGGGATGCGGGTGAAGGCACGTGGTCCTGAAACCCAATTGCTGTCAGGGCCTCAGCACTGGATGAGTCTCTCCCACCCGGGGCTTTGGCAGTTCTCTGGAGGAGTGGCTGCCCCAGCCCTTCACTTGTGACAGGAGTTAAACAGGTTTGCTTTTGCCAGGTTTCACCCAGCAGCCACTCCCAGCCCTCCTGCCACAACAGGACTGCTCGGGCTGCTCTCACGGACACCAGGGGGGGTATTTCATAAAGGAACACAGGAAGCTGCATTTCTCTGGCCAGGCTGTGCCAGCCCCCACCCCCCACCCCTCCAGCACAGCAGCTGAGTCGTGGCTAGGCAAAGATTCCAATGACCAGCAACACTGTCTGAAAAAACAAAACACTTTAATTAGACAACTGCAAGCACCTCAAACAACTGGTTATTGTTACAGCATGGGGCTATCTTCTCACAATCTAGTTATTGCAAAGGCATGTGAATAAATTTCATATGGACAAAGTCAAGAAAAAAAGTGGCACTGTAGTTACATGAAGATCAGGAGTAAGCTTACATTCATCCCACTGACTTCTAAAAGAGGCCCAAACACACCTCCATACTGTACATTCTAAAATCTGTATTGCCTATAAGCTTCAGCCTATGCAGCCTTTCCTAGAAAACACGTAATTGTTGCGTGCAACTTACAATGGGCAGTCATATGTCTACGGATGGGAAAGAATAAAGCTAGTGCAATTTCTTTTAGAAACATGTAAAGCTATGAATGGAATGAGCATGATCTCGCTTCTTGGATTATTTTACCCACTGCCCTGTAAATATCTGCAGCTATATCCTTCCTTAACTGACGCCAAGCACACACTTTTATTATAAAAGATCAGTAATTCTACACAGAGAGTGGTTCTCATGCTCTACTTTTAATTTTTTTTCTTTTTCTTAAGGTATAGTACAACTTACAGTGCTTATAAAAAGGCAACACCATATGGTACCATGTCTTCACTATCACATTGTAGGGAAATTGCTATTTTTCTTTTCTTAAAAGCACTTAAAATAGGCAAAAGTTCTAAAAGGGAGTGCTAAATGATAATGCATACTTTATTAGAAAGAAGTCTAGCCTTCCTTTAAAGTGCCATTTGGGGAATGAAATCCTGTAAACCAGAGCCACTTTGTTTAAAATCCAATGAACGGGAACTGCTACAGAATAGAAAGTTTGCACAATTCCTTAAAGCAGTTTAAAGTCCACTACATGCAATTGGTTTGCTATAAAGCTCTCTAAAACTTAAGTCGCTTTACTCTGAAATTGAGTCCCCAGTCCCATATTTAAATGGAAATAAACATTTACAGGGTGCATTTACATACACTATAATACAAGAATGATGTCCCTTTGCCAGAAGATAAAATTGTACAATTCCTCACTGTAACTCAATTCTGACTTGATAAATTTCTTACACTCGTAAATTATATAATATGCATCAGCTAAAATATTTTTTTTTTCATAAATAGTTACAAAACTTGCCAAAACACATGGGGGGAAGTTTCCTTTGTTCAAAAATCTGACATCTGAATGTCACACAACACAAGAAACAATGCTTAAAGACACGTTAAGTGTTTTCTGAAGAAAGTGGGTGAGTAAACTACTAGCTGAAGACAAAAAGACTACCCTTCCCCAAGAACACAGTGCACAAAAAGCAAAATGTCAAACAGTACCTCAAGCAAAATAAAGGTCTGAGGATTGAAGCCAGCTCACGTGTGATCCTGCTAAAGATTTTGTGACAGTCACCATTTAGGTCCAACGCATTGGAAAGTGGTTGCTGGCTTTTATTTTACAGCTGGGAGATTTCTGCTAAGAATTCAGCCATGGATGCCTAAGGCATTCTCCAGCTGAAGCGCGTTTCTCTGGGACCATTTCTAGCATGGGGATCAGGAAATCTGTAAACTGTGCAGCATCTTCATGAGGCCAACCGTACTTCTCCACAAGCACATCAAAAAGACTCCAAGGTTTCAGCTTGGTAATGTGTCGGAGTTCTCCTGCAAACAGAAAGATGAATGGCATTAAAAAACACCTCATTATCCCTGTTAGTGACTAATCCCTGTTTCGTTTTTCTCCCACTCTGCATTCACAGCACCTTGACCAGGCTGAGAATCATTGCTGATGAAGGACAGCACACAGCAAGCTTGAGGTCCTCAAAGGAGACGAATATGTCCGATGTCAAAACCAAGAAACCATTCCTACAGCAGACAGCACGTTATACCTGGACTCCACTGATGTTTCCTGCTGTCTCCACTCTCCCACACACAACAGACTCACACACAGGCTCACACTGTGGGCAAAGAACACTGCAGGCCTTTCCTTCTTCATCAGCCAGTGAACCCAAGTTTTACAAAATCTGCTCTGATCCCACGACAGAGGTCTCAGAAACACAGGTCCCTGCCTTGCTCCATGGCACTTGCCAACAATGCAGCAGAGCAGCGATTCATTCCTAAGCAGAGCAGGGAGGTTTGGCACTCAAGGGATTCTGCTCTGTGTCCCAGGTAAACACCCCCAGGAGGCTTGGTCCGAATCCTTCCTGAGAAGGAAGCACCTGCTGCTGCCCACGTCTCCTTCAACCAACCACTGAGACAAGTGGTGGCAGCAGCTGCAGGATCTGAGTTCTCACAGAGGGGGGGAATTGTACATCTGGCCAACCTGGCAACGTGTCTCAGACCAAAGCAGAGGCAAGCACCTGTCTGCCATTAAAACCAGCAATATTATCCAGGTCAGCCCACAGCTCATCTGGCATGATGGGGAAGACTCTTCAGTTTCCTGCTCCTTCACTGCGTAGGAATGAGGCCTAAAGCCATGAGATGGACCATGAGGTATGTGATGAAGGGATTACCATGGATTACCAGGTTATCAGGCCAGATGACCCTTACTGCTGCAATCAGCTGGGTGGAAGAGGGACTGAGGTGTCACCTTGTGCAAGACCCGCAGCCTTTGTAATTGAGGCTCTTGCTATCCCTTGTTTACGTATGACATGGCTGCCCCCCCTCCATTTATGATGGCAATAGCAGGGAATTTGACTATGGTATCGCCTCCACTTCTACCAAAAGGATCAATCTGACATTTGAAATCCTCTGTGAGGAGGATGACACGAGTCAATGGGCTCACTCATCTCTCTATCCCAAAGCAGAGACACCCATCTAGTAAGATTTGTGCTTCTGACTGTGTTGGAGCATACCCAGGAACACTTGTACGCAGTGCTTGCTATACACTTATATTTTGTACATCTAGTACATTTATCACCAGCAATCTCACGACAACCTATAGCCTGTTGTTTCAATAAACTATACTTGTCACAGATCTGCATTTGTGAAAGTTCTTACTAAACACAACCAGACTTAAGAGCGCCTGATCTGTTCTAAGCAGTAACAAAGCCCAGCTGCACCCAGCCCTCTGATCTCTGAGGACCAGATGGAACACAAGGGCAGTTGTTTTCTGCCATATTTCTATACTCTTAAGGCAAGCCATGGCCATCTCCCTTCTTCTCAGGCGTATGTCTGACCCAGACAGTCTCCACGTGACACAGCAAAAAACTTGAGGCCTAAAGCCATGAGATGG